AGGAAAACTAACTTACATGCTAAACACTGATAAAAACCACTTGTACTATTAAAAAAAAAAACAGGAAACACATAGCCACTGAAAGGAACATAATTTTGACATTCACATTCTCTGTAATTGAATGAGTAAAACTGTTCACATTGCACTTAATATACCTTAGGGTTAAGCTAATCAATAAACAGTTCTTTTGTCACTGGGTCATATCCATGGTTTTTAGGTGAAGAGGTTTTCCCATTAACCAGTAAAAATGTGCCATATGATAGCTTTGCGTTCTTATTTAAAAAAAAAAAAGTATTTACTGTCTTTCATTGTTTTAGTATACAAAACAGGACACAACTGTGGACTTCACATAAGACAACTCTTTGAAGAGACTGTCAAGAGTTACGTCTCTTTAAAATACCAAGGTGTTGAGTAAACAGGACACAGCAGAGCAGATTTTTTATGTTAAAATTTTCCTGCACCATCTCCACAATGAAACCTGGCTGCAATACACCTACTGTTATCTTTGGCAATATTATGTGTTGAGGCCTCAATATTCTCCACGGTGTGACTCTCATACCACCGTCTGAAAGCCATGAGAACGATCTTTTCCAAACTGTTAAAACATTTTATTCATCTCTAAGCCACTAGGGGTTGATCAGTGCTAATTGTATGGGTACTGATACTTGTAGAAATTGACATATATGAAAAGGTCAAAAACCAAGAAAAGCAGAGAAAACAAAAAAATACACAAAGCTCTAAGTAAAGGTGATTTTTAAATCAGTAATTTCAAAAATAATAACAGAGGAATAGACAGTATTATGTATGTCATTAATTCCTGAAAGGAAGACATGCATACACATCGTTGACAGCCTCGCCTAGAAAGTTCAGCAATCGTCATCATCATCCTGTTGTGCCATTATTTTATGTCACATAAGGCTGCAGTCTAATTATCCATTCTGTTTGATGTTGTGCAATCCTTTCAAAATCATGGAAAGAATCCAGTCTTGCACGTTTGATGCCAATGAATGAACTTAAAATCTGTTGCAATAGGAAATTACTAAAGTAGTAGGAGTAGTAGTTTTACCCCACTAGGACATCGCACAAGTGATAAACACCCGATGACACAAAGTGTCACTATGAGGGTGAGGATCACCCATGGAGAGGTCCCAGAAACCACGTTCAGCCATTAGGCCATGATCATGGCCGGGCTATATTGCAGCCCCTGGCAAGAGCCAGGGTGGGGCTTCAAAATAATTAAAAATTGCATCCCACAAGAGGACGACGAGATTATATAGTATATTACTGAAGTTACAACTTGGAGTAGATTGTTTTATTATAACTGGACAACTGTCAGGTACAAAACTACTCAATATTATTTACTTGACTGCAATGTCAGAAACAAAATTACTGAATATTATTTACTTGACTGTAATATCAGAAACAAAACTACTCAATATTATTTACTTGACTGCAATGTCAGAAACAAAACTTCTCAATATTATTTACTTGACTGCAATGTCAGAAACAAAACTACTCAATATTATTTACTTTAACGCAAGAAATTTTAACTTTAAAAGGCACCTCTAAGTGAATGTATGACCATAGTGATATGACCAGTCCTTGCATCTGATAGGAAAAGGAAGGTTTATATGTGCACAGATGGCTGATGAGACTAATCATCTCTTGAAAAGCTCAGTGTGGGCATAGGATTTGGGCCACATTGTCAATGGGCAGCCAGATCAGTCTTTTCTGAATTATCGTTTTAGAACTGCTGCTGCTATTCTGGCTGTTTTCACAAACCTCTGCTTCCTGATGAAGACGACTGCCAAGATGAGCAGTCAGATGTAGTAACCTCCCATACACCGGGATCAAGGCCAGAAGTAGTTCACTGTAGGAGATTCTTGTAGGCAGTTGTTTGTCCGACATTTGAACTGGGATTGTTTAAGAATTGTGGAAGCGTTGGGAAGGCCAGCTTTTTAGAGGATAACAGTGTGAAAGATTTCTGGGAAGGCTAACCTGGTCAACAAATGTCTGCAGAAGTCAGATGTGTCGGTCCAAAGGTGTAAATATCGCAGCCACAAATATCGCAGACATGCTGTAAATAGGCGCAAAAGATTTTTATCTTCAGATAAACGCAGAAAAAGAAGAAGTATCATGAATTTTTCTTGCCAATTGATGTGAAAAGGCAAAGTGCACAAAAGTGATTTAGAGTTACTACAATGAAACAATACAAAGATCAACCTGTGCCTCATTGTAACAGATATTGATGAGGTCAACATCAGTTTGTTTTGCTACCTAGACTTTGAGACAAAAGAATGGTCTTCTTTCGCACTGGCAGGCAAACAATATGTCTGTGGTTTAAGCATTGCGAATGTGCTTCGGAATACCGGGGTTTCCGGGTTTGCTCCCAGCTGCGGACGAAATGTCTTGTGTTGGTTTTGACAGTTGTATCGAAAGCTGACCATCAGAAAACAATGGCAAACTACTTAACGTTAAATTTTTCTAGAAAAACCACAGCAGCAAAAACAAAATGCAGCACTTTTCTTCTTCTCGATTCAGATTATTCTAATAAGTCGTCCGTAACACTTAAATTGGAAGATTCACTTTTTTTCCTCTTCAATGATTGTGAAATGGTGTTAACTCTGTTACATCCGGGCGCTGCACATTAAAGATGAATGTTCTTAAATTGGTTACTTAAACTTGTTAGCTGCTGTTGTACCATTATGACGTGGCCCCTTTAGAGATTCCAGAATGTTCACTTCCACTGTTTTGTAAAACAATAAAAATTAACTAGCTACAAAGACTCTTTAACTCCAGAACTGATCAGGTAAGTGAACAGTTTCTTAAGTCCTTATCATAGTGGTTTCAACATCAGTATCTGTGTACAGTGTCTGTGTGTTAGGATGCTGAGATAAGGTTGACAAGTGTAGACAGGAAGGCACTGATGGAGTTTAACTCAAACATCACTCAGCTGTAGGTTTTGTCTATAACAATAAGGTGTTAAACAATTATCTAGTGGCCAGGGCTGGTGTTACACCTGCCAGAGAAAGGTCTGAGGCAGACGGACTGTGGAACAGGTGTCACCTGGATTAAGTGGGTGGGACAGTAAGGTATTTGCATGAAAGCAGACCACAGGACGCTCTCAGTGGCAGCAGAGAGCTACATGGGATATCACGTTTCAAGCTATTAGGCAATCTCAAGGGTATGGCTTTGAACTGGAAACAATGGTTGAATAGAATTCCTGATCATTGATGAAGAATTGCAGGTCAGATATCGCCAACAGTATCAGAGGGCGGAGCTGGAATTTTGTTTGTAGACTTTGTTCATTTTGTTTGAAATTTTAGATCTTCACTTTGTCTTTTGACAGACAAGATTAACTGACCCATCTGCACTTGTTCAGTGGGCTATGTCATTTGAGTTCTCAAATCTGAATTCTACCAGTTGCGAGCAGAGAAAAACTGTTATGGATTTCATGGGTTCTAGTCTGTTATTTCACTTTCTGCATAGAAGCTAAATAGGTATGGAGGCAGACAAACTATAATAAGTAGGGAAAATATCACATTAACTATTTCAAACTGATCATAAAAAGCCACCCACCTCACCCAATTCTTCTTTTAGAAAATGTAGGTGCATATATTTAAAAAAAAGAAATCACTGACCAGCAGTTGTGACGAATGCAAGACATGAATAAATCAACAACTATTATCTCTGAAACTTGGATAGAGTAAATGTACAATGACAGCCAGAAACTCACAACAATGTTTAATGCATCCAAAACAAAACAAAAAAAAAGCAGAGTCATCAACATCCTTTGTGGACCATTAGACATCAGATAGGACTCGCATTTCTCCACTCCGCTCTCTGCATGCAACTTTCTCAATTTTTGACATGGAGTTCAGCCCAGCATTTTTTGCTTCTTGTAATAATATTCTTCTTAATGTTTCCCTTGGACGTCATCTGTTTCTCAGACAATTTCTTTACTATCTCTATGCCTGTTTTGTAATTCTTTGCTCATTCTATCTCCACCTTCTTTGTCTTACTGCAGTCAATACACGTATTTGTCCAGACATTTCTCTAAACTTCTCACTCTTTTTTAAATTCATCCCATGTTCATGATTTTTCTCACACAATAAATGCAGTGCATCAGCCAAAATACAATGTGAAAAAAATAATAATTATATAACAATATAATCATGTTTATAAATTATCAGCTGATTATTTTATGTGCAAATACATTTTAAAATATGATCAAATAAGTATACGGCAAGTAAATTTATGTGCCACAAGGCATGCTGAGTGTACCGATATTTTTGGTTTATCACATGTCACTCTGGAATCACCGCTTTGGTTTTTTTTAGAGAAATCTCAGTTGAATTTGTAACTGATATTACAAGATTCCCTGTGTGGGTTCCGGGGTCCCAGTTTGAGGGGGGGGGGGGGTGGGGGGGGGTGGGAGAAGAGCCTCCGTCCCCTACAAGCACGTTAAAAAAAAAGACTAATTAGGCGTGTATGCTTCAAAGTCAGAATGCATCTGTCTGAGAGGCGAGGGACCAACAGTTTGCATTTAAAAAATATAGATCTGTAAATGGATGTGCATGCAAAACTCAAGTTCTGGAACAAGAACCAAAGTCCAGAAGTGGATGAACAACCAGAACTTTTTTACTGGAGTTTACAGAGGGTAAACGCAAAGAAGAAGAAGAAGATTTTACATGATAAATCAAAGCTAATGCCAATGGTGAATCAGGCCCCTGATGAGTGAACTTAGACCATAGGCCTGCCAGGCAGACATACTAACTAATATGCCATCAAGGCTTCTATTGGTAGACAGAAAAACAAAAAAAAGCGTGGTAAACTTTCATATTTAATCATATGTAAATAACTGCATTCAATTACTTCATTTAGTGGATCAGTATGTCAAATTATATATAGGAAAACTTGATTCAATTTCACAACAACAACAGCAGCAACAACAAAACCTGGCAAATATGCCAGTTAAACCTAGAAGATGATATCCATTCTCAGGGCTGAACATTGATCATTGCACTTGCATGGTCAACAATCATTGGATGATAGTTCACATAGCGTAGGAAGTTGACAACTAATGCGGACCAACCAGTCTGGTGACTGAAATCAAATTGAAAAAGAATAGATAAAATATAAAGAAATTAATATGCCTAGTACAAACTCTAACATACTATGTTAAGTAGGGAGTCGCCGTGGCCGAACGGCTAGACGCTCGCCCCGGATCGGAAGGTCGTGGGTTCGCTCCCTGGTGGAGCCGGACTATTTTCAAAAATGACCTTGGCTCCCAGTTCAACTCAGCCTTGAGTGGGTACCTGGTGCCGTCCTGGGAAGTAAAGGCGGCTGACGTGATGGTGACCACATCACCCATTTTGTGCCAATTGGTCTATAAAAATATAGGTCTAGCCCTATACGCCTAAAGGCGTGGAAAAGGGTCCTTTACCTTTTTTTTTACTTTACTTATGTTAAGCAACTGTGTTGTCTTTCTTATATTCAGTATGTGAATAAAACAATTAGGGAGAGAACATTAAAACGGCGTTGGCATCATTCTGGATCCACATTGCGCAAAAACTGTTAAAGGATACCGGACTATTTCAGACAGTGGGCTACTAGTCCATAGCAATGCAAAGATTGAACAGCCTTAAAAGTCTATGGTTAAGCACCAGCTGGTGCTTAACCATAGACTTTTAAGGCTGTTCAGTCTTTGCATTGCTATGGCCATCTTCCTTTTAATTTCTGTCAATCAGTCTTCATTGTTGTTTATTATAGAGCCTAGATATTCAAAGTTTGTGACCTTGTGACATATTTATAAACACTAATATTAAAAACAGTTAGCAACAGAAGCTGCAGTACAAAAAACAATAATTAAATATTCCAAGAAAAACACATGTGAACAACACATAATGATTATTCTAAAATTGCTTCATGCAGCCTAAATCAAACATGGTTGAGCAAAAACTCCAGAGAGTAAGTATGAAAACTATGCTCTAATATACAAACAAAATTTATCTCCTTGACACAAACTTTTTTTTTTAAACAAACAAATTCATGCAAACAATATTTACCTGGCCCCACATCCTCTCCCTGTTTCTCCGTGAAAGTATTCGTAGAATAAAATCAAATCTTTCCAATGGGGATCAGTTGCATATTTGGGATCACCACCTAATGATTTAAAGATATGATTTAAGATAAAAAATGTAACGACCACCAAGGAATAATAATCTGCGAACAAAGTTTGTGTCTGATATCAGAAGACTAGTTTTATTTTGTCAGAAAATCTATCCTAATTTGACAGAATATTGCAAAATATAAAAATTACAGCAGACTTGCACACTATTATTATTTATGGCAGGAAATGGTTTAGTTAAAAGCAAAAACAAAAACTATCTACAGGAGGAAGGCATACAAACTAACATGAATAAAAATGTAAAAATCCAGAGATAATTAGGGCTACAAAATTTGCCAGGAGCACATAAACAAATGAGAATCCTAGATGTACAGCACCAGAATAAAAATACCAACCGTGGCAAGGCCTGTGACCATCTTCTCCAGGCAAGAACACTTTGGAAAGTCTGAGAGACAACTCCCTGGCCACCTCTCCCAATCGCAACAGATTGCCTGACCCTGTAGGGCACTCCACTTTCAGAGTGTCTCCGAAGAATGTATCGTATCGCTCCAAGTTTTCAATCAACATATAATTCACTTAAAGAAAAAACATGTAATTGTCAGTAAAAACATCACAGCATAAAGTTAACACTTTTAGCTGTGTTATCCAAAATAGGCAATTAGTAAATGGTCATAGGTAGTTTTCTAAACAACAATATCCTGTTCAATCCATACAGGTTATAAACGGGATTTATAGTTTTTTTTTAAAAATTATTTCATTAATGGATATTTATTTCTATCAATTGTGTTGGGTTATTCAATATTGAATAGCTTACGTATTAATTTTATAAGATGGTAGAAGTATAGACTGTCATGTTAAACCTATCTGAAGTGTATTTTCAAACAACTATAGTAATTATATGGTGTAGTCTATCTTTGTGGATATTTAAAGTGATCTAGAATACCATTATTCTGTTTTAAGATTATATTACCATCTCACATGCTAACCCCTGATCTGTTGGTGTACTCTTTAATCCATCCTTGTAGTTCTCCAGAACCATCTACTTTAGCGTGTTTTCAATTGCCTTAGGCCTTTTGCAGTGGCTCATATATTTATTAGCGGAGCCCTTTGGAGTTCATATTGTTTGCAGTATAGTAAATAATGTTCAATATTATTATTTAACTGACAAAGAAAAAAATATGTCTTCTATTTTAATGAAATAATGATTAGTAAATAAAAATATACAGACACACTTCTTCACTTTCAGCGGCTGTAAACTCTGGTGGAAAATTCTGGATGTTCTTCCACCCTCTGACCTTATCTTGTTCCAGAATCTGAGTTGCATGCACATCCATTTCACACTTCTGGCTTATTTGTATCTTATCAGAACTATTTTTTTGCTAGCAGTGCCAAATGTGGACACTTACATCCTCTAATGAACGTAAAATTGTGACAACAGAGATGAAATGCCTTAGAAGAGCTGCAGGAGTTTCAAGGAAAGACAGAATACAAAATCATGAAATCAGACGAATGCTAGAAATAAAACCTGTCTAATAGGTCATCAAAGATCAACAAATAAAGTGTTTGGACACCTAACAAGAATGCCCTGTTACTATCTACCACAGTGAGCAACACTGAAACATTACAACAGGTACAGAGTGAGGGAAAGACCTCGGAAAAGATGGAGTGATGGCATAAAGAACAGCCTTACAGAAATGAACATCAATCTAAACAGTGCTCTTGACAGAGCTCATCAACGAATGTTACATCTTCCCCCGACACTTCATTTAGGTACAAGGTGGAAGAGAAGAAGAAGGCTTATTTGTATGCAGACTCTTGTTACCTTGCCTCAGGCAGATATACTCCGACTTTGAAGTATATCCCTAATTGATCGACTTCTATAAGACACTTGTTGACTGGCCTTCCTAATTTCTATAAATCAAGCCAGTGGATCACAAGAAAACATCTACAGATGCTTTTTATAGTAATAATAGCCACTGGCAAACCTAAAATTTGCTCATGTGCAAACAGAATCAATGTTTTCAGCAATGATTCTCATAAACAAGTTACTACAAGCATGCTATTTAAGTGACATTTACCAGGGCATGGCACATACTGAAAATGAGTATGGGGTTAAAGCTTTCGAGTAGTAAATTAATTATTGCTGAATTTACGCCATCATATAGTTGTTAAACATTATTGTACTGCTTACCCTTATTTTTAATTCTGAAATAAAGACCTTCACAGATTACAAGGGAATTTCCTTAACCCATCTACACATGGATTTTAGTTCTAATAATAAACTGTTTGATCTTTCCTGAAAAATCTCTGCAGTTATTTATTCATAATAAAACGTCTACGGTTGTCAAAGGTTGTGCATTACATACAAAACAAAAAACTGAGAATTTCAGAACTGGGAACACTTTCCATAACTGTTTCATTTATTATAAAGTCAAAAGTAAAGGTACTTTTCTCACATCTTTAGGTGTATTAGATATAAGGTACCAGCTCCAAATGTGCATCAATCAATCTGTACTCAAGCCAGCTGCTTTTAGTTTCCAGTAGTACGCTTGTTTCCATAGCAAGGCGCACATGCAATTTGGAAGCTACAGGTTCGATTCCCGGCACGGTAACTATAGCTTTCGATATTTATGTCCTCTAGTGTGTCATAATTTTCTACTTCTTTCTGTGAGTGCTAATCAATACATTGTCTGTTTATTATATATATGTTTCTAGGGCCTCAAGGGGGTTAGCCCTCTATTTATGTGTATTATGAGTAACCAATGGAGTTATTATATACAGATGTCTCTGTGTTGAGGGGCAGACAAAGTGTATGAGGTTCTTAGCGAAGGTGCAACAAAGCCTGGCACCAGATATCACAACGTCTAGTTTGAGAATGGAGGTGGAGGCAGTCACTGCTGCTTTAGGCTGGTTTGAGAATCAGCTGTACACACATGTCGTCATTGTAACTGACTCACAGAGCATGTTGAGAAAGGTGGAGACAGACATGCCCGTGCAGAGTGGCAAGCAAAGGTCCCGGGTAGTTGGCATCCTTTAGAAATTTTCTCTAGGTCATGCCGGTGTGTTGGGAACTGATCAGGTGGGTAGACTGTCTGGTTCTGCACCGCTTGGTGGTGAATGGATGTATGACAAGCTGGATGTTGTGAGGGCCCTTTGGTAGCAAGTGAAAAGTGCCTATGAACAGATAGATCATTACGGTCTGAGAAGAATGGCACTGTGAGGAGTTACAAGGGGATCTGGCTGACGCTGAACACTTAGGGGAAAGACATGATGGATATACAATCAGACAGTTACCATCGGAATTTTAACTCTTCGCTTGCTACTGAAGATGGGGATGGAGTGCTTAAGGGGGTGTCCCAAGTGCTGTGATGTTGATTCTTAATTCAACATTCTTCTTCTTTCGTTCGCTTGAAACAGATTTATATATGAATGCTCTCTCTAGAATGAACTTCACTGTCTGTTGAAATTCACTAAGCGACCCGTTAAGTTTTGCTTCCATCAGTGTCTCTCTTGGCCATAAGTTTTGCCTGGATATGTTGTATTTGGGAAAGTCTTGGAGAATGTGATCTGATATCTCAGGTGCATTACTTATCATATAGCATCAACCCCTGTGTGGGTTCCGGGGCCCCATTGTGGGGAAAACAAGAATAGACCCACTGCCTCCCCAAAAGCATGTTGTAAGAGTCAACTAATTGGGGAGCTTCCTTTGAAGACGGAGTGCGTCTGCCGGAGAGGCAAGGAACCAACAGTCTGTATTCAAGAGAATGAGATCTGTAAAACTGATACACACGCAACACTCAGGTTCTGGAGCAGGACTGCAGTTCAGTAGTAGACGAGCAACCAGAACCTTCCGCCACAGTTTACAGCTGGTGAACGCGAAGAAGAAGAAGAAGAATATAGCATCAATGTTGCTCTCATCAGTCTGCATGAAAGAAACTCAACAGGAAAGAGGGACAGGGGCCGACCGGCACAAAGATGTGCATAAGTTGTGACACCTTTGATTGGAAAGTGCATGAGATGAGAAGTTGGTGAGAGACCAAGTTTTTTTTCAGGCAGTTAACTTGTATCAAAAGTCAACTATTGGAAAACATTGGTACAGGTAAAACTGGATATGCATGCAAAACTTGTTATGTCGTCTAGTGTGTTCTTCTATCTTTCTACTGCTATGAGTGCCGATCAATACACTGTCTGTTACTTTATTAATAGGTAAAACTGGAAATGATTCTGCAACAGGACGGAAAGGAAGACAAGACAGAAAGATAAAAGTATTTTGAAATTGTGGATTAGAGACAGAGCTCTAACAGATGAGACCCTCCAACTGAAATGTTACAGACAACTGCTGCGCCGATCTTTACTCCCAATTCGCGTATTCTTAGAAGTGATGTGGACACATTGCTTCCAAAATCCTCAGAGCGTCCTATCTCTCTAAGGGCAATGACAATGTCTGCATGATCCATGGGCTGGCCATCTTCAATTAATGCAGTGCCTGCCAGTCTATCAGCTCTCTCATTACCAACAACGCCTGCATGCCCTGGGATGAATATGAAAGTAACTGCACACACAGGAGAATTTTGCAATGACTCAAGCCACTGTCTGCGTAACCAGCCTGCCTCGACCCACCGGATCATGCTCGAAGAATACGATACGCTTGTTAAGGCAGTGGGTCTTCTCCTTTGGGACCTGGTATCAATATGGGGAGCAGATGAGACAGAAGGCTGTGAATAAACATGATGACCGACACCATATGGCATGGACTACTAGAAGTAGAAGCCATTTTTTATGAGTGATCATGATTTGCAGATCAACACAACCTAAAATGGGTAAAGAGAAATGTAAAAGTCACAGGTGAAGAACTATTTTTAAAATCACTTAAATCGGACGTGGTGCTAGATTAGGGCGACCATTAGTCTTTTTTCGTCGGGAGGGTATCGTTTTTTAAGGTAAGCACAGACCTTCCTGTCAATACTGAATGTTGATGAGAACAATGGAATTTTTGTTTGTTGAATACGTTCTGGGTCTACCTAAAAATGATACTGACACAACAATATGGTCACCCTATGCTAGATCCAGATCTTTATAGAGTAACTGACACTCGATGGGCAACATCCTGCCTGTCATCTTTACTCCTATAAAGTTCCTGGTACTACCAGGAAGCCATTGGTCAGTTATGAAAATCTGTCCTGATATCTAATGAATATGGTAAAGCGAAACAGTAAAGGACCCTTTCGTTCACATTCAGGCATATACCAACTGACCTATATTGTATAGACCAATCAGCACTCAGTGGGTGATGTTGTGAACATCATGCCAGCCACCTTTACTTCCCAGGACTTTTCCGGTAGCAATTTAAGGCTGGGTCAAGCTAGAAGCCAAGGTAATTTGGGGGGAAAAAAGGCTGGCTTCGTTTGTGTTTCAACCCACGACAATTGAATAAAAGTGGGCAGGCGTAAAGTGGTACCCACCAAGAAATGTGCTGGGAAGTAAAAGCAGCCTGTTTACTGTTGACCACATCAACTATTAAGGGCTGACTGGTCTGTAAAAGTATGGGTCCAGCATCATATGTCCCGTGTGCAAATGGCATGAGCAAGGTCATTTACATGTTTTTTGTTTTTACTGTTAAGATCATTCACTAATTTTACCCTACAGTTTTCTTACTTGGCAACCAGATAGGTCCCCTCCAGTTGCTGTTTCCTCCAAACATATCAGAGAGAGACTCTGCTGGGTCATACCTCACTGTGTACGTGTAGTCTTCCACAGTGAAAGTGAACGGGTTCTTCTCATGGTACTGAAACATCATTAGTGACATTAGTAGCAATAAAGAGGCTTTTTCTAAAGAAACAGATTTGATCATCAACATAAGCTGCTCTTGGACTTTCTTCTTCTTATCTTCCTGTAGTTTCCTCTTCAAGGTGTTTGGGGGATGGGTACACAAGGATCCTCTGTGTGTTCTTTCTAATGCATTGTAAAAGTTGATCTTCATCTCTTCAAGGCCCAGGAAAACTAACTCGAACAAAAGATGCCTCCAGAAGTTGGATGTGTCAGCTGAAAGGCACAAAAATTGCAGCCATGTTGTAAACAGGCACAAGGCATTCAAGTCTTTAGATGAACGCAGAAGAAGAAGAAGAAGACTTCTTTAAGTCTGTTCTTGATGCCTTCATTCCATATTGTGTTTTGTCTTCCCCTTGCTCTGTATTTATTGTATCTATTCAGCACAGATCTCTGTGGCGGCTGGTACCAGGGCATTTTCATTAGACAGGCAATCCTTCTCATAAAATAAGATTACATAGCCAACCCTTTTCACAAAATAATATTACAGTAAGATTTTTTATATTAATTATAAACAACTAGGTGGGGGACAAATAAGAAAGAAATTTTTAACAGTAAAAAGAATTTATTATAATAATGATGAAGAATCAACATGGTTGCACACTCATAAGATAAGAACTGATTAGCTATTCACATCTGCAACTGTTGCAACCTGTTCCATATCTGATGCTGTACTATAGCAGCTGTCGTCGCTGTGGGTCCTGAACGAGCCAGACCTTTTTTTTCTAAAATGACCTTGGCTCCCACGTCAAGTCAACCTTGAGTTTGAGTAAAGGAGAAATTTTTAAATCAGGCATGCGACTGGAGTGATATGTGACAGAACACATATGTGTGGTAGTGTCTATCTATCTCCACTATATATAGCTGGGTTTCTATCTGTTGCACTAGTTTACAGACAGATAAATGAAGGGAGACATTGTCTCCTGGTCTTGAGAGTACACTCTGAGGAATGGAGAAGAGGAGCAGAGGTGGGGTGAGCTGATGTGTGATTAAGCTGATTACTAATTCTTGGTTCTTTCCTGACATGTGATACCATCGTAGCTAATGTTTCTATGTTAGCCTGTACTGAATTATGGTGTTTCATCTGTAGTATTTCATCATATATATTATGACTTATTTTCCACGAAAGGCTAATAATACACAGCTACAGAACATATCAATTCTCACGGCACATCAAACCATTCAGTCTGTAAGTGCATGAATCTCCTTCTCAGAACACACCTCAGTTTGTTAGCGCTCAATACAAGTTCTGTATTGGTCGACTTTTTTCCCCTTCATTTCTTGCAGTGCCCTTATTTAGATTTTTGACTTGATATTCTTATTATAGTATGGTCACAGGTTCGGATTAACATTCAACACCTGATGAATGATACATGGATTGAGCTTTCTGTGAGCATCTTCATCTTCTTCAGCATTCTGAGCCCTTAAGGTTCACTGCTGCAGATATCACCCATCTCCACTCCTCTTTCTGGTTGGCCTTCTCTTTTAAGTTGGTGACACCAAGTGTTTGCAGGTCTGTCTGGATATTATCTCCATCGTCTTCTTAGTCTGCCTTGTGATCTAAGACCATTCATCTCCTTTGTGTACACTTTTTACCTCTCTGGCATCTGACATTCTTTCAATATACCCCAGCCATTTCAGTCTATTAGCTCTCATGATGCATGTGATCAGTGAAGATTTTAACAGATTAAGGATTTCATTGTTGCTTCTCACTCTCCATTCCCCGCTGTTTGCATCTTTGATGGGACTAAAGAGTCATCGTAAGACTGTTTTCGAAAACCTGTAAGGAGGCTTCATCTCTTTTAGTTGTGCTCCAAGTTTCAAATCTGTATAAAACAACTGGTCTTATGTTTTTTTGTGAGCATATAATTTGTGTATCAGCCAAAGCTCATATAATATTCCATAGTAGCCCTTCCCAGCATGCTTATCTGCTTTTTAATTCTGTTTTATCCCTGAGTGGGCACTAGGGCCCTCTGGGGGGTGGGGATAGAACCACTGCCCCTCTGACAAGCATGTATTAATAGCGACTAATTAGTGGTTTCTGAAATATCATATGTACTGGGCCGAAAGGTGTAGTTAACCCTTTCGCTGCTATGGACGAGATAACTCGTCTGTCCGGCAGACTGCTAAAGACGAGATAACTCGGCTGCAATTTTCTGTGCCCTCACTGCTAAGGACGAGATATCTCGTTCTGGACATTTTTTTACAGATTGCTAAGGACAGTAATTCTTAGGGGTGAAATAGCAATACACATTAACTTAATCTGATCAAACTGACCCGTTTACATACAATTAAAACCCTTATCGAGTGAGTTTAGGCGTATTTAGATGCATTTCACGTTATCCTGTTTCTTTGTTACCATAGAAGCATTGTCGGTGATCGGTAATTTTTTTGCCCTGAAATATATTTCTGGTTTTGCGTTAGTCTAATTTTTTTTTTTTAAATACAAAATAACAAGAACATTTGTTTAAATAAAGAAGAATTAATTGAGTTTCTTTCAAGGAGTAGTAGTAAGGATCACTTTGAAACGTGTGAGTTATATGAGCTGGGTTATCTTCGCGGCACGCCGGCGGACACGTGTACTTCTGGCTGTGAACAAGACTGACCAGTGACCATATGACCTAGCTATCTACATCGACTTGATTTGAAACGGATCCAAAATAATCAACAACAAAAAAAAAGATATAGTCACGTACTGACGTGATGATTAATATTAATGTTAATTATATACTATACAACTGACATAAATGTGTTTGTCTATTAAAGTGTACAATACTGGTCTTTTTTTCAGTTCATAGTTTCATGTGAATTTCTAGTGTAGTTGGTATCACGTCTGCCTTACAATCGAAAGGTCCAGCGTTCAACCCCTACGTGCCGTTTTTTTTTTTTTAAATTAATTATTTTAAATGCAAATTTTAAATTTAAGCTGTTAGCATTTTCGGCAACAGATAACCAAAGAAATAATTAATTAAACATCCTGTCACGTGCGTTCAGGTGGATTTAGATGCTTTACACGTTATGTGAAGCGTGGTTGGTGTACTGTGCACATTCATTATATAAAGTTGTTGTGGGGAAAAACACACCTGTTGCCGAATTTCACTTAATGTTAGTAAGAGAAATTCTACATAAATATTGCAAGGAAAAGAGAAAAAGTTTAGGAGGACAAAAAAGTGAAGATCTGCCACTTCGTTTAGTACAAAGGCATTCCCCTTCAATAATAGAGTCCGTAACATCGCAGAAAAAATTCCCAACCAGAAAGTGTGTGGTATGCGCAAAAAGCAAAAAACGACGGAAACCCAGATACATGTGCAAGGAATGTGATTTGGCATTGTGTGTCGGACATTGTTTTGAAATATTTCACACACAAAGATATTATTAATAATAATAAAAACCATGTATTTGCTTACTAAAGTGTTTTGTGTTTGCTTTGTAAGTTTGTAGTGTTTTCTTTTTGTTAATGAGTTTTCACGGCGTAGTAATAGCGCGTCTGGCTCGTCAGCGCAAAGTTCAACCACACGCCTTCAACGATTTTTTATTTTAGGTGTACAATTTTTACCCCGTGCCGTAAGCGCGTCTTCTGCTTTTGAAGGAAAAAACGGTATTCAGCACAGGGGGAAAGATTAGCTCTCGCCTGGCTTAGCACAGTGGTTACGTAGGCTGGCAGAGGGCGCAGCAGCGAAAGGGTTAACACACCTTTCACGAAAGATGCAGATGTATCATTGTAAACCATCATATGTGCTGGGCCGAAAGATGCAGATGTATCATTGTAAACCACAATATAACTTGAAGACCGGCCATTCAAGGGTAATACAGAAGAGGTGGAATAATTTCCTCCTAGACCTGTGTGCCAGGTGAGAGTCAGTCATGTATGCTGTCTCCTACAGGATGGTGCAGAATCAACCCCAGCATTATTTTGGCTGTTGAGGTTTTTCTAGGCAGATTTTACGTTCAGTAGTTTGCCATTGCTTACTGAACGGTCAGCTCTTAGTACCACTGTCAAAATGAGCGCAAGACAAACTGTCCACAGCTGGGATCAAAGCTGGCACCCGGCATTACGAAGATACTATCTCTAGGCTAAATGAAATTACGGTGAGTAGAATGGTGCAGAACAGGGCTATTCAGCCAGGTTTAGTCTGGGGGCAAAATGTTGAAAATGGGGGTCGTCGTGGGTCAGAGGTCCCAGCCCCAGCATAGACAGATAAGTAATACAATAAAGTTGGCACTGATCCACGGACACTGATCCGCGGGCACTGATCCTCTTTCAGTACCAGAACATGTCAAAGAAGAAAGCAAAGTGAAGAAATAAACATGATGAAAATCATGAGTGCATTACTTTCGAAATGGCAATATACACAGGGGTGGTAACTTCTGGGGCCGCGTTAGCGCAGTTGATAGGAGACTCAAATCCAGCTGCGACTCGCTGCAACCTACTGCAGGTGTTCGAAACCATGTGTTTCCTAGTGTTCAGCCAGCCTCTGGGTAATGGGTACCAGAGCTAACACTCTGGGGTAAATGGAGGAACGTCGCTGTAGTTACGAAGCTGCATGCTGACAGTTTCTTATCAGCTGTCCGTACTGGTGGAACAGCACTTATGGTTTATAGCCGTGTGCAATGACTCTGGTTCACATTTCCCGACTTTACCGTTACCTTTACTACTGGGAAAGCCAGGTTTCTTTAGTGTCTTCTCCACAAATGTTAAAATTAAGATTCATCAAGCTCTGGAGTGAAATCAATGGGTAGAGAACACATATCAAACATTGCTTGGGACTGAAAGAGTTCTTGCCCATTTTGTTTACAAAGTTGAGAGTAATTAAATTACCTTTGAAAGGGAGCGAATGCCGTAAGGAGAAAGGAACTCCTCCTCATCAAGTAAGTAAGTGAGGATCCTGATCAGCTGATCCCGAGTGACTAGCGACAACATAATTGCTTGCTCATTTGATTCCTCGTTTTTGTTTGGTGACTGTGCTCTATGGAGAATCTGCAGATGTTAACAAAATACAATCTTCTGAACATCTTCTTCTACTACTTTGGCATTTTAATCAATGCAAAATCATAATAACTTAGAGATGAGATGTCTTCAAAGAGTTGCTAAAAATAACATTATCATCAAGTGCCTTGCCAGCTGGAGTAAGCATTCATGCATCTCCACAGATCTCGGTCTTTGGTGTTCTGGATCAATTCCCCTGATGATATTCCTCCATGACACTGTCTTAAGCCATCCAGCATCGTTTCTCTTGGTCTGCCTCTGCCTCTTCTACCAGTGATCTTTCCAGTCCTCACGATATTTTCCAGTGCTCCTTTTCCCATCACATGACCAAAGAACTTTGTCTCCTTCTCACTGCTGTATATAATGTTTTACTTTCATTAGCCATTTCCAGACAATCATTGTTAGTTATTCTCAAGAACCCCATCTCAGTGGCCTCCAAACTCTTCTCAGTTTGTTTGCTCACATTCCAAGATTCACTGCCATACATCAGAACAGGCTCGATACAACATTTCACGACTCGTTTTCTGATGCCAGAAAAACAAGAAGCGATAATATTTAAAAAAATGAAAAAATCAGAGGGGCACTAGGAATGAAACCAGTCCTTTAAGAACAATTAAATCTAGCCACTCGGGTGACAGAGTCTACAAGTCTTTTGAAAATCGCTTATTTACACCTTGTGAACTTTAACATCTAGGGGACTGAAATGTCAATATAGTGTCACCTAAATTCTTGAGTTACGATCATTGACATTCCGTGGCTATTTGTTCTTGGGCCAGCGTGTCTCTTCATTCCACTGGCAAGACAACATGGCTGTTTCAGAATATGTCAGTTAAGTAATATGTGTATTTTTTTAATTTATTTTTTATTTATGTATGAGCTGATGAAAGCTCTATAGCCACAACGTTCACATTTCATTTGTGTTTGTTATACAGAGATAGCTCACAGGAAATCAGGTGATATCATTAGAAACCATTGGCTATATAGACTGAGTGATGCATTCTGGGTGATTTGCTCTCCCAGCATGAGTTGACTTACTTGCGTCTTGGAAGCCAATCCCTTTCTTTTGTTGAGAAACCACTGTGTTCTTTGGTAAAAGCCAGGATGCTGCTTTGCTTCTGAGTCCCACAGTACCAAAGATGAAAACAACGGTACCTTGGAAACAATAAAAATAATCAATGATTACACTAAGAGAATAATAAATCCAACATGTTAACAACATAATGTAAATAAGAATTTCAAATTATGCACAGTGCAATTTCTATCATAATCACAACCCAAATCAAAGCAATATCACATTCATGAATTCCCTGTCTTAATACTGAATAATCTAATATGACATGTTCACAAACTTCAAACCAACAATTGGATTCAATCGCATGTCTTGACATCTTTGCAATCTTTCTAGCATCTTTCCTACTTAATAAACATATATGACTGACATCATAGAAACAAAAACAATCAAATACAGAGATTATAGAGATTGTGAATGAAAATAAAGTTGAAACAAATAAAGGAAAGATAAGTAAAATATTTAGGCTACATCATAACAGCATAACAGTCAAATAATAACCATTTGGAGGGAAAAGTTGAAGGCCAGCAAGAGTTAGTTGTACAAGTGAGATGAAAACATCAAGAGATAGATGAATAGCAGTCTGAGAAAGTGTTCAAGGATGAGAGAGATAGGATGAGAGAGATAGCGTACTGGAGATCCGCCATAGTCAACTTCTACTTAGGAAACTATCTGACTGAATGATTGACGGATTGATGACAGATAATGAAAAATGTCACACTTACCATTCCCACCATGGATCTAATCTTCAAAGGTATCTGATGGTCTTCAAAAATAATGCTATCATAATAAAATCCATCTTCTTCATCCCAAAGATGTGCCACTCCAAAGTTGATGGCATCCATAATGTAAATAAAGTGTTCAAAGAACTTGCTGGCCATGTCTTCGTAGATCTGATCCCTCTGGGCCAGGATCAGACTAATCTCCACCATCAGTTCACAGAAGAAAGCCATCCAGGCTGTACCATCTGCTTGCGCTAGCTTTCCACCTGTAGGTAAGGGTTTGGATCTATCAAAGACTCCAATGTTATCAAGACCAAGGAATCCTCCCTCAAAAATGTTTAGGCCATCTGGATCTTTGCGATTAACCCACCTGTTTGAAGATGAATATAGGTGAAACAATTTTACTAGAACTGTTTATATAAAAAAAAATCAGAGGATAACATTTTAAACATAATATTTAATCATTGCTATATAAAAAAAATCAGATGGAAACAGTGTCAACATTCATCGTTATATGAAAATTTAGATGACAACATTTTAAACAGAATAGTTAATCATAACTACACAACAAGCTAGATGGCAACAGTTTCAACATTCATCATATCAAAAGTTAGATGATAACATTTTTTAGAGAATAGTTAATCATCACTAAACAACAAACTAGACGGCAACAGTTCCAACATTTGTCATCATATCAAAAGTTAGATGATAAAATTGTAAACAGAATAGTTAATCATCACTACAAAACAAAGGAAGGGAAAAGAAAATGGGAAAACCAAGAGAGACCTTGAGTAGAACCATCATCAGGAAAGGCTCAACCATGGGTCTAATAAACATCCAAGATCTAAAACAGGTAGCAACGAACCGCGAGACATGGAGAGCTGTGACCTCTATCCGCCCTAGGCTCAAGAGAAAAGACTAACTAAAAAACTAACTAACTAGCTAGCTAGCTAGCTAAACTAACTAACTAACTAACTAACTAACTAACTAACTAACTAACTAACTAACTAACTAACTAGCTAGCTAGCTAATTACATAAGCTAGATGGTAAAAGTTTAAATATTTATCATTATCATATCAACAGTTTTAACAGAAATGCCCCTACAATTATTTTTAAAAAAAAGTATGATGATAACAATGAGTTGCATGGAGGGAGTACATCAGGAAGGGAATAGGAATAAAGGAGAAAATGATTGCATGACTGTATGTAGGAAGATGCATGGACAGAGTAGACATCGTTAATGCTATTATATGAACCAGACGAGTGAATATTAACACTTTTTTTATGCCTGATCTCTAAGTAAAGCCAGGTGAAGACATTGGTGCCATCTTCAGCGGACTGAGCACACATGGGAATGTCTAATGTGCAGTGATGTTGACTGTGATAATATTTAAACAAACTAACAGAAATCTTCTTCTTCTTCTTCGCTTTCACCAGCTGTACACTCTGGCGGAAAGTTCTGGTTGCTCGTCCACTACTGAACTGCAGTCCTGCTCCAGAACCTGAGTGTTGCGTGTGCATCAGTTTTACAGATCTATTCTCTTGAATACAGACTGTTGGTTCCTTGCCTCTCCGGCAGATGCACTCCGACTCCAAAGGAAGCTCCCCAATCAGTCGACTCTTACGACATGCTTTTGGGCAGGCAGTGGGTCTATTCTTGTTTTCCCCACAATGTGGCCCCGGAACCCACACGGGGGACTAACAGAAATGATTGTTGAGAGGGTAAGAGTAGAGTGTCTGTTAAATACACAACAAAGATCACAAATAGATTTTTTGCACAGGATATTCTTGTCTGTAGGGCAATGAGCAGGCTGATAGATCGACTGCTGCCCCTCCTCTGGTTGATGAGCTACTATCTACTGTATTATGAATGCTCTCTGGGATCAAGTAGTGCCAATGATATAACTGTCAACTGAGATTATATGTACCAGACAAGTGTCAATGTTTTCTAGGAAAGAAAGGTGACGAGGAGAAGAACTGGCCAGCCCATCTTGTATATCATGGCCCAGAATATGTGAAAGCCTAAAACTTCAAACACCATGAGACTAAATCTACCTTTAAATTACAAAGAACAAGTGGCTCGAGGTAAATCTTAAACACACTCAAGAAGCCGCACGCTACCAATATGCATTCAAATACCACACGACATGAGGCACACGCTACCAATATGCATTCAAATACCACATGACATGAGGCACACGCTACCAATATGCATTCAAATACCACATGACATGAGGCACACGCTACCAATATGCATTCAAATACCACATGACATGAGGCACACGCTACCAATATGCATTCAAATACCACATGACATGAGGCACACGCTACCAATATGCATTCAAATACCATACGACATGAGGCACACGCTACCAATATGCATTCAAATGCCACATGACATGAGGCACATGCTACCAATATGCATTCAAATACCACATTACATGAGGCACACGCTACCAATATGCATTCAAATACCACAAGACATGAGGTCTTACCATGTAAAATTCAGAACCAGTTTCTGAAAGCATCGTGCTAGAAATACCTGGTCCCGTCTAGCAGGGCTATCTCCTGAGGCTTTGTAAATCTTCAACACAGCATAAGCATGGACTGGAGGGTTCACGTCTCCAAAAGCAAACTCATAAGCTGGAATCTAAAAAATGAAAACAAGTTATCATTAGCATGATCAGTTTTGTATGTTTTGTTGATATTTTTCAACAGGCAAGTGTTCAAGACAACTTATCACAAATATCAGAAAGTGGCTGTCATCATATTTTGGCCCATATTCTTTCTACAAAATGGCTAGCACCCTGCAGAAAGTGCCACATAAAGCACAAACTCCATAGCTTCAGTGATGATCCCTGGGAATCTCCCAAAAATTACTCATGAACCTAATGATGCAGTTCCTCAAATGAACCTGGGACCTTCAGAGCACAAGGTAAAAGGCTTGATCTCTTTGCCACTAAGACCTCTTCCCCCCCCCCCCCCACAAGTTTAAAGAAAGAGAGAAAAAGAAAGAAGATGCATGAAGATTTTAAATAGTATTTAGTTATGGCACAATAGGGTGTCAGCACACAAACTGATAAGTGCGAGTGTGGAGGTGGCAATTTAAGGAGTGGCAGGACTGCCCACGACAGTCAGCAAGGCACTTGATGATGGTGCAGTTGATGTTTTGTTTGACAAAAATCAGTGTTGCTGCTCTCCACGATTTATATGCTCAGTCTCCTTCAAAAGGAATATATTTTGTATGATGATTTTACTGATTAAACTGTATCTATTTATCAAAAAGTTGTGATTTAGGTGTCTTTGGATCAACATTTACGAATTAGGCAACATATAAAAGCATATTTAAATAACGATGTTGCTACTAGTAAAAAAAAAAAGTCACTATTAAAAATTCACACATTAAAAAAAACACTTCTCAGACACGATGCCTGAAATTTAAAAAAAAAACATTTCCCCTTCACTGAGCTTCCCACTCAAAGCTTGTCTTTAGTCAATTATCAAGCTTGTTCAGCTTTCTAGCCATAGTCTGCTTTTATTTATTCCCTTCACCCCCAGTATTGTTATTATTATTACCAACCCTTTTGTTATTTTCTTCCCTAAGATATATATATCATTTCACTGAACCACACAACTAGAGTTGCAAAGATTTAAAAACAATGTCAATGTTTAACTAGAAATAAAATCCACATATACTCATGTGTAGAGAAGGATAAGGAAATGTCCATGTGATCTTTGAAGGTATTTATTACAAAACCTTAAATTACAGAGGATAACCTAAAATTACAGAAGTTAACCAACACAGTAATGTTTAACATCTAAAAAACCACCTCAGGAATCATGACAGATCTTTCACGAACTTCAATTTAAAACACAATTAAAGTACCTGGCCATTTGGATGCATGTACCACTCTCTTAGGAACAAAAGCATTTGATTCTTGCAGAACTCGAGGTCAATGCTGGCAAAGGGCAGCATGTGAAAAGCTAGATCCCAGCAAGCATACTAGTCAGAAAAAAACTCATAAATTAGTAATACATCCCAGCAAGCATACTAGTAAGAAAAAACTCATAAATTAGTAATACATACAGGTGACAAACTAATAATGAGAAAATCATAAATTAATAATAGATCCCAGCTGCCATACAAATAATAAGAAAATCATAAATTAGTAATAGATCCCAGCTGCCATACTAATAAGAAAATCATAAATTAGTAATAGATCTCAGGTGACATACTAATAATAAGAAAGTCATAAATTAGTAATAGATCCCAGCTGCCATACTAATAATAAGAAAGTCATAAATTATTAATAGATCCCAGGTGACATACTAATAATAAGAAAATCATAAATTAGTAATAGATCCCAGGTGACATACTAATAATAAGAAAATCATAAATTAGTAATAGATCCCAGGTGACATACTAATAATAAGAAAGTCATAAATTAGAAATAGATCCCAGGTGACATACTAATAATAGGAAAATCATAAATTAGAAATAGATCCCAGCTGCCATACTAATAATAAGAAAGTCATAAATTAGTAATAGATCCCAGCTGCCATACTAATAATAAGAAAATTATAAATTAGTAATAGATCCCAGCTGCCATACTAATAATAAGAAAATCATAAATTAGTAATAGATCCCAGCTGCCATACTAATAATAAGAAAATTATAAATTAGTAATAGATCCCAGCTGCCATACTAATAATAAGAAAATCATAAATTAGTAATAGATCCCAGCTGCCATACTAATAATAAGAAAATCATAAATTAGTAATAGATCCCAGCTGCCATACTAATAATAAGAAAATCATAAATTAGTAATAGATCCCAGCTGCCATACTAATAATAAGAAAATCATAAATTAGTAATAGATCCCAGCTGCCATACTAATAATAAGAAAGTCATAAATTAGTAATAGCTCCCAGCTGCCATACTAATAATAAGAAAGTCATAAATTAGTAATAGATATCAGCTGCCATACTAATAATAAGAAAATCATAAATTAGTAATAGATCCCAGGAGGCATACTTATAAAAAAAATTGATAAATTAATATTAAATAATGACATATGCAGCTGCCACAGCAAAGTGCCTGCAGGTCTTGGATGTGAGGCACATTTTTATAACTGACGCATAGTTGTCAGGTTTTCCAGTCAAAGTTTGTGTTGTATTTAGTACTCCACTGATAAGTTCTTTGGTTGAAACCTTCGATTGTAATTGTGCATCTTTTCCATTTCCTCCGTCGAGCTTTTCAGTCACATTTTGTGTTGTATTGAGCACTTCTAGTCATTAGCTTGACTCCAGTCACCCCCTATTTATGTAACTATTTTGTTTTATGGTGCTCACTGACACAGACTTAGCTTGAAATATTCACTTGTTTCTGTGATAAATTTTCCTTCTCCTCCTGTTGCACTTTTTAGTCACTGTTAAAAAAATCAAAGCAATGTTTCCCTGTTGTAAATATGAACAAAGAAGAGACAAATAATAGTTTGCATAATTTATTGCCTTGCATATTTCGCTTTATCTCGCCAGGTGCATATATTAAGGTAACAATTAAATAAATGAAGCAAATAAGTGAATCCTTTAAAACTGAAGTACAGATTCTACCACACTCAAAAGCAACCACTTTTTTACCAGGGCAACTACAATGTCACATCATCAAATGGCATAGCGCTAAGATTTCTTGAAGCCGCTACGATTCGTTACCTCTGCATTTGATGAGATACAGCAGAATATGCCCTTATGCCCGGCAATACATTGTGCAATCTATTGTGTCTTATTTGTTCAAAATATTAACTAAATTTAGTTTTCGAAGACACCAATACTGATGACTGGCTTTTAATGTGATAAAAAGATGTCTGCAAACAGGGCATTAGGAATACATGTGTTGGATCAATTTGTAGGGAACAATATGCCCTGCACGGTGTTGCATGGAGGGGGAAAATCAGAAACGGAATGGGGAAAAAAAGAAGAAATGATTGGAGAAATGTTGAGAGGTGAACATCGAGAAGAAGCACTCTAAATATATGTGATGGCAACAGCGGTCCTGAAACCCAATGCTCTAATTATGGAAGACGTTTCTTAATGCAGGCAGGACTCGCCAGTCACACTCGCCATCGCCATGGGCTGCAGTTCACATGCCTCCCTAGCACAATGTAACAAAACTATCATTCAGAAAGACTGAAAGGTGCTAACTAACTAACTTCTTCTTTTGTCATCTCACTGATACTAGGTTGTAGTCCATGTTTGTGATTTTCTTAATTTGTCTTGCGCTTCTTGGGTGGCCCGGGTGTGGGATGCGTTCATCTGTTTTACAGGTTACAGCGACACCATTTATCCATCTCTTTCTTGGTTTTCCCCTTGCCTTCCATCCAGATGTTCTGATGTAAAAAGTTTCATATGCAGTTTGGTCTGGCTGCATTCTCACTGGATGACTGAACCACTTAATTCGTTGTCAATATAATTCAAACACGGTCATATCCACACACTTTCACTCTAATGCTGGTATTCATAATTCCGTCTCTTCTCGTGTTGTTAGTGACCTTATAGAGACAGAGCATTTCACAGGTAGTAATTCTCTTTTCTAGTGCTCTATTCATGTTTCACACTGATAGTATAAAGTAGGGATAAGGATGCTATTAATCATTTACTGTTTTAGTGGAAGGGAGACATCTGGGTGTCTAACTAAAGTAACTTACTAAACTAATATTGATGAGCAATATTTCAAATAGTCATTTTGCAAAAATAACACACTCATACCCAGGGATACTCCCACTTGTCAGGCATGCTGATGATTTCCTTGTTGTATAAGTGTCTCCAGTCAGAGTTACGCATCCTGGAATGTGCTAATGGTGAGGGAACTACGTTCTCATGTCCGTCCAGCCATTCCTAAAACAACAAATATAACTTTTTTCTCTAAAGAAAGACAGGAACATTTAGAGTACAATTACAACAAACAAGTTTATAGGACAGTGTAGCGATAAGCCTCCATCAGCAAAATAAAGATGAGAAAAAAAAAAAGGACAACAATTTACTGATTCTAAAATGGCTATGGCATTCAAATATTGTAATGTAACACACACACAAATTTACTACAGAATGATCCCCGTGTGGGTTCAGGAGCCCTATTGTAGAAAAAAACAAGAATAGACCCACTGACTACCCAAAAAGCATGTTGTAAGAGTCGACTAATTGGGAGCTTCTTTTGAGAGGCAAGGAACCAGCAGTCTGCATACAAATAAGTCAGATCTGTAAAATGGATGCACACGCAACACTCAGGTTCTGGAACAGGACTCCAGTCAAGAAGTGGATGAACAACCAGAACTTTCTGCCAGAGTTTACAGCTGGTGAACGTGAAGAAGAAGACTACAGAATGATATAAAGTATCTGATTTTTCCCTAGATGTTTGCAAACTGTGTAAATGAAAGATATGAAACATGCATGCCCTCTTAAAGTCTTATAGACAAACCAAGTGGCAGTTTGTGAAATCGGATCTTTGGGAGTGAGGAGTGTGATCTGTTTTAACTGGCTATTTCATCCACGATGAACTGTATTTCTTGCGTCTGTCTGTGTTGGCACTTCTGACTGCTGACTTATGCATTTCATGTGCGTGTATGCTGTTGGATTTGCTAAGAGTTTAATGTTTCAGTTTTATTTTCAAAAGGGACAGTGATGGACATTCTGTGTGGTTTTCATTGACACAGAAATGCAGACACTACAGCATGACACGATTACTATATAACTGGAACTACCATTACCTGAATACTTGAGTATTAATGGTATATCAATAATTACACAACAAGTGCCATTAAAGAAACTGCCATGACTACCTGTAATTACTAATTCGGCAGGGTTGCCAGGAAGTCTTTAAGCCTGAGAATCTGAGTCCGCATGGCTAGTGTTGTCACTATACAATGTGCAGGTTGTTTTATTTTTGCCCCCGTCAGAAAATATTCAACAACCTTAGTGGGGATTCGAACCTGGGTCTCCCGCATGAGAGCCCAGTATTCTTAACCACTTGGCCAGCCGCTCCTCACGAGAACTGTAAATACTTTAAATATTCATAATTTAAAACTCCCTCAGTGTCTGTGTCTTAGTCACTGCAAATATGTTTTGTGATTCCAAGATACCTGGTTCGATTCATGTGTGGGCCATTTGGCAGAAGACCACTTTGTCTTGATATTGACACTGGTATGGAGAAGTAATGGTAAACCAACTAATGCAAAACTGCACAGTTTTTAAAAAATAAAAATAAAAAATAAAAAATATTTTTAAAAAAAAGGTGTGGCTGGTTTTGCAACATCCTGTAAAGATAAACAACTAACTTTTCTTTAATTCTCTCCCTACAAAGTAACTCTCTAGACATTTATTGGAAAGTCTACAGAAAATATACTTTTTTAACTTTCCTCCGTACTAAACATTTTCTATATCAACTTAAGGGGTCACTACACAGCATTTTTTCCAATTTATGACAAAAATATCACTTTTTCAATGTGTTCGTTTTTGTAAAGTTCGGCATTCGTAGAATAGATGACACACACAATTTATTTGTATACAATTTAGCAATGAAAAAAGGTAATACTAACTACACCACCTCGTGCACTTTTTTAAGATAAAAACAGTTTAAAAGTCAGTTTTCTCAAATCTCTATATTTCAGTTTTCTGTGTGTGTGAAATCCTAAACTCTAAGCTAATATAAACAGTAGAAACATGAAATTTTGTATGCGTACTCCGTAAACAATATTAAAGGGACTGGTCTATCTAAAAGTAGATTTTAGAATGTTTTTGTTTTTAGAAATTTGATTATTGTCTTATGATGCTAGATTTATTTTGAATTTTTCAAGAAACCTTCATTTTAAAATTCTACAAAAAATATTTTAAAACATGTTTAAAGTAAGTAAACAAGACCTGTACCTCTAAATAAATTAAAAGGTCATGAATCCATCATCTAATGTTGAATACCTAAGTTTGGTTTTAAAATTTTAGGATTCTAAGTACATATTGTTTTTTTTTAACAAGATGGCGGCTATTGCTATGACAACTATGATTTTTTTTACACTTAAAGTATACAAATGTAAAACCATGTATCCCTACAAATGACCATAATAAAAAAACTGCTCCAACTCTGTAAATAAAAAAATAAAATTTGTTGGTGTAGTGACCCCTTAATGGATCCAGATTACTAGTTCAGCTAGTTGACTTCTCTCCCACTATAGCATCGAGCTTATGATGCTAGACTCGTATTTAAATCAACCAATCAGTGCTCAATGGGTAGTGTGGTCAACACCATGGTGGCCAACTTCACTTCCCTCGCACTTCCAGCGACCTGTTTTAGAGTGGGTCAACTTCGGAGCCAAGGTCAATTATTTTTAAAAATCCATCCCAGTGTGGACTGAAACTCAAGACCTTTAGTTTCAGAGGTAAGTGTTGAGCGACTACAACTTTTCTCTTATTAGTTTTATTTTTGAAAAACTGTTTCAGATGCGCACATGACATTCTTTGAAAAAGAGCTAAAACAACTTTAAAAAAAAAAAAAAGAAGTTACAGTGGCACTCCAATATCTGTCTGGTGGTGGGCATTTTTTTGAAGACTTCATGTACTTGGATTTTTCAAATTTGTTTTGCATACAAAATGTTGTGAGACTTTAAAAACACCCTGTAAAATTCCAAATGCGTCTTTTAAAAAATTTGTTACGTTTTCTGGTGAAATATTAGTTTTATATTCCCGAGAAAAGTTTAGTTGTCCTATTCACCGCTTAAGAATGAATATAATTTAGTCAGATGTCTTTGTAAAAAATATCATCTTTATCTATAACCAGTATTCTGGAGGATGAAGCTACATTTGAGCCATTCCATACAATTTTTGTCTTTCCTTAAAAACACTGCTTGATTAGTTCCATACATTGAAAGATACAGATAGATTTATAGATAATGCTGGTAGTTTGTTATCTGTTAGTCCTTTACATGTTCTAGGCTAAAATATATCACCTAAAGGCTAATTCTTCTTCCTATTGCCTTTCTGTTGAGACATTTCCTAAAAAATTTCAGAAAATTGTCTGATGCTCATTTTGATAAGGTGCGCCAACCCCCAAAATAATTCTGCGTCTGCTGGGGGTTGAACCTTAACCAGTGTGATAGCAAGCAAGTGCACTAATCATGTCACCCAGATCCCTCTAGCTATCATCATCATCACCACTTGCCCTGCCAATAAGCATAGACAGTCATGTTTCAGCATCTTACCAGAATTACAGACCAGGTCAGTGCTCCTTTCTCACCCCCATCCATATGGATAAGCTAGCAAGTTATTTATCTCTTTACTTTCACTTTGCTCTTTTGCCATCAATCTTTGCCAGGCGTAACCAAATTCTCGAGTTGATTCCTTCTGATGTCCAAGTCTAACTTTTCTAATCAGTTGATGGTTCATCCGTCTTCATGAGGACTGCCTCATTTGTTTTTTATCATTCTATAATATTCTTTGCATTTTAATATTTTTTAAACGATTAACTAAAAAGTACAGAAAATCCGCCTGTCATATCATGGTTTACAAATAAGTATACATTTTACTGGGAACATAACTATTTTTGCCTAAATGTGTGACCAGCTGTTGTCATGCATAAAACAACATATGGTGTCTTTATATTTCAAATATTTGGTTTCTGTGTGCTTAAGAAATCTGGCCATATATTTAGACTTGCTGCAGAATATTAAATATCAAATACACTTTTGAAAGTAGAGCACTCATCGTCATCCTTAACATCATCAGGTGCCCTGACGGTTAGTATAGACAATCATGCCTCTCCACTACTTGCAGTCACTAACAAGATGTACCAGTTCATCTGCTGACAACACTGCAGAACGTTTTCTCACTGTAATTACTGCACCCATTTGGCAACACTTGCCACATCTTCTTAGACTGAAAGACAAACTAAATACTGCCACAGACATAAATATATTTTCTGTATGCTGCAACTTCTGCTGATTTATATAATTTTTACAATGAAAGTACATAAATAAGAGCTGCAACAAACCGAAACGACGTAGTGGTAGAACTGCTTACTCCAGAGCAGGCCGGCATAGGCTTGTCTGGTGACCATGACTTGTTGGGGGTCTTCGCAGACAATCACCTGCCGAAAAACAATTTATGTGGGGATAATTTGCGTGGTTTATTTGTGAGGTTTATTAGTCTGGTTCATTTATGTCATTTATTTGTGTCCTTTATTTTTGTCATTTTTATGTGGGGGATTAGTTGTGTGGTTTGTATGTGTGGTTTATTTGTGCAACTTATATGGGTGATTTATGTGTGTGGTTTATGTACGAATTGTTTTATTTTGTGTGATTTTTTATGCGTGGTTTATTTGTGTGGTTTATATAATTTTTTTTATATGTTTATACGTGTGATTTATTTGTATGGTTTTTGTGTGGTTTTTAATGTAGGTTATCTGTGATTTATTTATGTGGTTTTGTGTGGTTCATATGTGATTTATACATGTGGTTTATGTGTGATTTATATGTATCGCTTTTACGTGGTTATTGCATGAAATTTATAAATGCAGTTTAAGGATTCTTTATACGTGTGGGCTGTATGTGTGGTTTATAAATGTAATCTGTATGCACGGTTCCACTTTCTGCTCTGCAAGGAATAAACAGGGCAAAGCTTGAACCACCTGCAGCATTTCAGTCGTGATAGTGGCGCCACCACTCTGAGCCATGCAGCAAGCAAGTAGCGGAAACATCTGGCTCCCAGAACATAAAATTTAAGTCACTGGTTTTATTCAAGCCCTTCACTGTAAATGGCATCTATCCTGTCAATAGCACCTACTTCTGATGGTCCCACGAGCATGCTTGCTCCCAAACAGTTGCTCTGTTTAACTGTGGCGCATCCACTAATATATCTTTCTCCTTCTTCTTGTTCTGTGTTCGCCATTAAAAGGGTGGTTGGCATTTGTGGTTTACAGCTAGGCTGTCACATCCGCATTTTTTGGCTCAAAACATCAAATTTCCACACATCATAAACTAGTTACCTGTTATGACACACTTGCCAAGGAGCAGTTTATTTTTTCCCGCCAAAATGAAACACAGGGAAATGTACCTTTCAAACACTTGTAATTAACCATTGGAATGGGTTTCAGTTGATCCATGTTTATATTTGTTTTTTTGCACATGCATGCACATACGAAATGGGAGGAGAAGAAGAAAAGGATAGTGGATAGTTATGGCACTGAATCATAAACTACCAACAGGAGGTTTGAGGTTTGTACAACGGATCAACATCATGGCACACGGGTGGTAACCCATAAGTGCTCCGTTCTTCTTCTAATTCAAGTCTGAGCCCAAAGAAGCTCAGCACAGTACACAGGCTCTGTAGCATCGGCAAGGATCCTGAAATACTTTGGGTAGATTTTTAACTCCAAATTTTGCCTGGGCAGCACCATTAGGCTACTCTTTTCAATTTCCAACTGCCAAGGGATTTTTTAAGTGTGCAACAATGCACATGGGCATCTAATCTTACTACCCAGAGACCTGGGGTATTACTTGAAGTCCAAGGCCACATGACAAAATCCCAGCACTTACCGGGGATTAAACTGAGAACCTCTAGCACTCGAAGCGGACACCATGCCTCAAGACCATGCAGCCCACTTACCATCAAGATGTTACATTTAAATAATATGAGCAAAACAATACACTGCAATTTATTTCCTGGCATATTTTTTTTGTTTATTAAGTACTTTACTACAGAGTTACATCACTATATAATGACCTATACAAATGAATCTTTTTCTATTGAAATACACAAATTCTAACGTCTGCAGTTACACTGTACATCTCACCACGCCACAGGAAATTCAACAACAGCCACATCAATACCATGGAAGTTTCTTATTTAAAAACATGCTTTTTTTTTTTATTATCCACATTATTTATATTAACTCTTTGAGTCCCAGAGGGTTTAGCATCACAGGCCCAAGGGGTAGTCAAAAAAGACTAAAATGCATCATGCGTTCATTGGGCTTCTGGGCAGTAACCTATGAACGTATGATGCGTTCCTTGAGACTCAAGACTTAAATTACCACATTGTTGTTTCAATGTGTTAAATCCTGAACAACAGAAAAACATCAATTACCTGATCATAAAACTCATCAGCTTCCCGTTTCCTGAGAGAAAACACATCATCAAATCCTTCTTTTGAGAACATGTGTTCCGGATCAGGTCCCTGTGATTTCTCAAACAAGCGAGCTTTGATTACAAATTCCTCTCCCCCTGGAATTTCTAGAATATAATGTGGTGCACATTTTGTGCCCTTTTTGTCTGGATTGACGGCAAATTGTTCACCTGTGGAAAAATTTATAACAATTATTACAGTTTATGGGAAGTCCCCGTGGCGGAGTGGCTAGACACTCACCGCGGATCGGAACGTCATGGGTTCGCTCCCTGGTGGAGCAGGACTTTTTTAAAAAAAATGACCTTTGCTCTCAGGTCAACCCAGGCTTGAGTAGGTACTGGGTGCAGTCTCGGAAAGTAAAGGCGGCTGGCGTGATTCTGACCACATCACCCATCTTGTGCCGTTTGGTCTATAAAAATATAGGTCCAGCCCTATATGCCCTCTACGCCTAAAGGCATGGAAGAGGGTCCTTTATTACAGTTTATAAGAAGGAAAAACAAACTCCACTTTCTCCAACCTGTTCAATTGTATAAACTACACACACATACCAGTGGTGAGTAAAAGATGCTGGTACTTGACAGGAGGCATGTTGAGAAAACCTAAGAACAATGTAACTACAATGTCTTTGCACTGAATCCCACAGGGTCAAACAAATAAAGGCAAACTTGAAAAACACACTGAGAAGGGAAGCAGAGAGTGAAGATTACAAGATGGGATGGTGTAAGAACACATATCTTTATTGTTTTTATTTATGTCGCTACTAGGGAATGTCCTGGCGACTAAAGGCAACTGGCAAAATGTCACAACCCTCAACGAATGTCAATTGTTTTTGAAGAAAACATACGTCTAGTACCATACACCATATTTGTCAGTGGCATCAAACAGATTTAAAATTATTTTGTAAGAACATCTTTGGAGGTCATTGGTGAGGAGCACTGTCTAGATATTTTCTCTGGGGTATGTTGGGGTGTTGGACAATGAACAGGCGGACAGACTGGCTGGCTCTTCCCAACTTGGTGAAATACTGATGCATCATAAGGCAGACGTGGTCAAGGTCTTATGGGAGCATCTGCTGATGACAGTGTTCTGCTAAGTAAAAAGCAGCAGTAGCATGCACAGGCAAACAGATGATTTAGCAAATATAGCATCAAGGGTTGGACTACGAGTAAGTTATGAAAAAACTAATATATCCAAGGCACCAGCAATAGATCTAGAGACAAAAGTAATTAAAGTTACAGATCAAGTTACTTATTGAAGTAGTAATTTTGACAGTGAAGGAAATAAAAAGAAAGAAATTATGACACGCTTTGGTAAGGAAGGCATCTGCAGCTTTTAATAGTTTGAACAAAAAATGGAACTCTAAATTGTATAGTTTTAAAACCATGTTACATATTTTCAATTCTAATGTTGTTTCTGTTTTAACATATGCAAGTGACAGGTAGAGAACCACTATAGACATGGAACAACAGTTAAATACATTTGAAAACAAATTTCTGAGGGAAATGAAAATAAAATGGGATGAATTCAAAAGGAATGAAGAAGTTAGAGAAATGCCTGGGCAACCGCAAGTAGCAACAGTTATAAGACAGAGAAGATGGCGCTCCACTGGACACATTCTGAGAAGAAATAAGCAGAGAATCACCAAATGGGAATTAAAAGTGGGAAATCAATGGATTAAGGAGGGGAGGACAACCAAAATAAACCCTCAGACGAACGTTGATGAGAGAGGCCAAAGCTGCTGGACTCAATTCCATCCATGATATTGAACTGACTGCACAGGACACAGCGGAATGGAGGAATAGACTGAGCCCTATGTGACATAAAATGGCACAGCAGGATAATAAAAAGATGAACAGAACAAATCTATTTCTTTTTTAAAAACGAATTTACTATAACTTACCAAGAGTATATAAGCCTACAGGAAATAAAATACCATAACTTACGGAACAGAACAAATCTATAGCAAATGATTTACTTTAACATACGAGAGAGAAAAACAAGTCTATAAGAAACAATTTACTATATAACTTACCAAACAGTATAGACCTTAGGTAAAAATTTTCTATAACTTATCAAACAGTAAAGTCGAACATCAACTTACCAAACAGTACAACCTATTTCAACTTACCGAACAGCAAAAGTCTATGGAAACCATCTTTTACATAAGGACTAGAATTGGGTTGATGAAATACACGTTTGCAGTTAGTTTCATTTTCAGTAAACAGTATGTCCGGCTTCTGTCCATTCTGATCTACATCCACCTCAAAAACATAACTACCTGAAAAGATAAATAAGTTTCTTTAAGCTACAATTAAGAAAAATTCTTCTTCTTCCTCTAACCTACTTTTCTCTTTCTTCTTCTTCTTGTCTTCCTCTTTTATTGCTGCTTCTTCCAGTTTTTTCTCCTCCCACACTCATTTGTCTTCCTCCACCTCATTCTCCTCCTCTTTTTCTGTTTTTGCCAGTTCTTCTTTTTCATTTTTCTTCTCCTTCTCTTTATTTTTCTTCTTCTTCTTCTCCATCTGCCCTTGAAAGGGTTGTTGGTACTTTGTATCCTGGTTTACAGCTAGGATGCAACATTTGGCCATTCAATTCAAATATCAAATTTCAGCAAATCCTAAATAAGTCCTTTTATGGCATGTTTGTTAAAGGGCAATGGACCATCACCCTCCCCACATCGAGGAAACACCAGAAACAGACAATAATTACCACTGATGCTTTTGACTCCTAAAAAGGACAAGCAGACAAATAATTGAAGTATTTACATAAACAACATTAACCGAAGTGAGGCATAACCATTTTTTTATAACAAGTGTTTAAAAATATAACTGAGAAATCAAAGATCTTATAGCCCATGCTTTATGGAAATGGTCCTTATGTCTGTCCCCAGCTTTCTATCTTGTGTACTGCCTATAATTTCTGACATAAATGTTTCTCTATGTCATGATGCAAATCTGGCAAATAGTCCTCTTGGTCTTCTCATGCCTCGCCTACCCTCAAGCTTTCTTGTTGTCACAATTTACTCTTGTTCACTCCTTCCTATGACATGTTCAAAGGTGCTGGAAATCTTCTTCCGATGAAAGTAATCATTTTAGGTTAATAATTTCTTACAAATTAAGAATGGTGAAATGCATCAAATTAATCGGACATCAACAAATTCTAGTGAATCAAGAGGTGAAGAAGGGACACTACCTTTAGATAGGACTCAGGTTGAAAAACAAAACTGTGAACAAAATACTTGAATGTCTTGTGAACAAAATACGTGAATGTTTTGTGAACAAAATACCTGAATGTCTTGTGAACAAAATACCTGAATGTCTTGTGAACAAAATACTTGAATGTCTTGTGAACAAAATACTTGAATGTCTTGTGAACAAAATACTTGAATGTCTTGTGAACAAAATACTTGAATGTCTTGTGAACAAAATACTTGAATGTCTTGTGAACAAAATACTTGAATGTCTTGTGAACATAATACTTGAATGTCTTGTGAACAAAATACTTGAATGTCTTGTGAACAAAATACTTGAATGTCTTGTGAACAAAATACTTTTGAATGTCTTGTGAACAAAATACGTGAATGTCTTGTGAACAAAATACGTGAATGTCTTGTGAACAAAATACTTGAATGTCTTGTGAACAAAATACTTGAATGTCTTGTGAACAAAATATTTTTGAATGTCTTGTGAACATAATACTTGAATGTCTTGTGAACAAAATACTTGAATGTCTTGTGAACAAAATACTTGAATGTCTTGTGAACAAAATACTTGAATGTCTTGTGAACAAAATACTTGAATGTCTTGTGAACAAAATACTTGAATTTGAATGTCTTGTGAACAAAATACTTGAATGTCTTGTGAACAAAATACTTGAATGTCTTGTGAACAAAATACTTGAATGTCTTAACACTGGAACCTACAGAGTGAACTTAAAAAGATGGAAAAACATAGGCTGAGCTGCACACAATACAAAGGACCGGGCCACTTAACTGAGGAGCATTTACTCCATTGGGGGGGGGGGGGGGGTCAAAGGGTCAAGAAGAAGTTAAGAAAAACATATCAGACAAATCATATAGTTCAAGTGAATGGGGTGTCAACAATTTATTGATCAAATATACTTACCTAATGATTGATGTTCTACATCTACATGGCCTGGGGCAGACTGGTGCAGACTTGGTTTGGGATCAACATATGCCTGTAGTTTTAGTGAAGATAGAAAAACAAGTAATCAAAAACAAAACAAAATTAAAATCTGTGTTTGTTAATTTATATCTGCTGGCAGAATGTTGAATTAAGAATCGAAATCACAGCACTCGGGGCACTCCCATAAGCGCTCTGTCCCCATCTTCAGCAGCAAGCGAAGAGCTCCAGTTTCGATGGCACCAGTAACTGCCTGATTGTATATCCCTCTCGTACCTTCCCTGCATGTTTAGCATCTGCCAGATCCCCTGGTAACTCCTCGCAACGCCATTCTCAGACCATAATGATCTATCTGTGCCTCTGCACTGTTCACTCACTCCTAAAGAGCCCTCACAATATCTAGCTTGTCATACATCAGTTCCCCACCAAGTGGTGCAGAGCCAGCCAGTCTATCTGTCTGCTAATTTCCCAACACACCAGCATACCCAGGAGAAAATATCCTAAGGACTCTAAATACCCAGAACCTCTGAACAGATGCTTGCCACTCTGCACGGAGCATGTCTGTCTCCACCTTTCTCAACATGCTCTGTGAATCAGTTACAATCACAGCATATGTATACAGCTTATTCTCAAGCCAGCGGAAAGCTGCCTCTGCCTCCATTCTCAAACTAGACATTGTGATATCATATGCAAGGCTTTGTTTCACTGAGCGACGTCCATTTGCTTTTGAGATGAACCCCTATGCACTGTGTCTGCCTCTCAACACAGAGCCATCTGTATAAATAATCATATTACTTGGGCGGGAATTGTCATGAATCATTTGTTGAACTTCTGATTCTGGTAGAAGACAGTCCTAAACTATACTAGGAATCAGCTCTCTGCAGCTTCTATCAAGATTTGTTAAGTCTGGAGCTGCAAACAAAGGACTGAATCCATTCATTTCCAAGATTAATGTCTTGTTACTTTCTGTTCATATCAACATCCTAGTACATCAGTCAGTCACTTGTGTGCTCCATCCTCCCATGCAGCAGCTACCTCAGTGTCTCTATGCTCAACATCCCTAGTTGGAGTTGATTGACAGATTCTCTTTCTGTGCCCAAAAGATGGCTTCTTCATGCTTGTCCTCATTGAATACCCATCTCCACTAGGTCGTTCATCATCTCTGACACTAACTATTGCAGACACGGCCAATCTGTCAGCTCTTTCATTTCCCTTCACCCCGATGTATACAGCCAAGACTGGGACTTCTGAACGTTGCCAACCCATTCTGGTCAGAGTTTGCCAGTTTGGATCTTCTTAAGCATGCTCACGAGTCTGTCACTATCAATACACAGGTTGCTTTCTGTTCCACCAGCCATGCAAGTGACCTTGTGACAGGGGTAATCTCCATGTCATCATTCTAGAGCAGTTGAAATGAATGCCTAACTTTCTTGTTGTACTGTCTTCCTATTCCCCCGCACTGTGTATGCCCACCCACCCCATGAATCACTGAGTTATTTATATAGATAATGACATCATCTGGTTGTGTGTGCTTGTGAAGGAGGGCTTTTATTTCAGCATCAGCGGCTGTTTGGCTCCATTCTCTGCAATATCTGCCCAGGATGATTATTACCTCAAGTGCTCTTGCATTCTTTCTAGTGTTTTTATCAATTCAGCCCCAAGTCAGACATTTCCCAATGGGTAAATGTGACTAATGGTGTAATCTGCTTACTCCACCCAGGACTGACCCCTCTTTAGGCATCTCACTTTGTTTACTGGTAAGCAGCTGTGCCGAGGATGCTTAATGTCAACAGAAACACCCAGGTACACCTTCACCTGGGTGATCTTGGGTGCAGAGACCATGTAAGATTGTGTTCAGAGACCCTGTAAGATTGTGTTCAGAGACCATGTAAGATTGTGTGCAGTGACCATGTAAGATTGTGTTCAGAGACCATGTAAGATTGTGTGCAGAGACCCTGTAAGATTGTGTGCAGAGACCATGTAAGATTGTGTGCAGAGACCATGTAAGATTGTGTTCAGAGACCATGTAAGATTGTGTGCAGTGACCATGTAAGATTGTGTGCAGTGACCATGTAAGATTGTGTGCAGTGACCATGTAAGATTGTGTGCAGAGACCATGTAAGATTGTGTGCAGTGACCATGTAAGATTGTGTTCAGAGACCATGTAAGATTGTGTGCAGTGACCATGTAAGATTGTGTGCAGTGACCATGTAAGATTGTGTGCAGAGACCATGTAAGATTGTGTGCAGAGACCATGTAAGATTGTGTGCAGAGACCATGTAAGATTGTGTTCAGAGACCATGTAAGATTGTGTGCAGAGACCATGTAAGATTGTGTGCAGTGACCATGTAAGATTGTGTGCAGAGACCATGTAAGATTGTGTGCAGAGACCATGTAAGATTGTGTGCAGTGACCATGTAAGATTAATGTCTGTAAGGCACCAGATCTGCTAGATGGTATCTTACAATCTAATTATACTTTTAACCTTATACTGATCTCTTTCTGCTCCTGGTAATTCTTACTTTTTACATATTCTTCTTCTTTTTTTCTTCTTCACATTCACCAGCTGTAAACTCTGGTGGAAAGTTCTGATTGTTCATCCACTTGTGGACTGCAGTCCTGTTCCAGAATCTGAGTGTTGCGTGTGCATCCGTTTGACAGATCTGACACATTTATGTGCAGACTATTGGTTCCTTGCCTCTCAGGCAGATGCACTCCAACTTCAAAGGAAGCTTCCAATTAGTCGACTCTTACGACATGCTTTTGGATAGGCAGTGGTTCTATTCTTGTCCATATAATAGGGCCCCGGAACCCACCAAGACCCACCGGTATTCTATCCTCAAAAGTTGTACTTAAAGTGCTAAATGTCTGGGTATGAAGGAGTTACACAAGAGACACTATAGGAGAAAAAGAAACTAAAGTAATTTTTCTCTGCATTTACTGGCTGTAAATTCTAGCTGTTCATCTACTTCAGGACTTTAAGTTTTGACAACATGAGTTTTGCGTGCCCGTCCATTTTACAAATCTGGCTTATATGTATGCAGACTATTGGTTCCTTGCCTGTCACTCAGAAGCACTCTGAAAGTGAAAGACACACCCCTAAGTAGTCTACTTTTACAGCTTTACAACATGCTTGTCAGGAAATCAGTGAGTCTATCCCCCCCCCCCCCCCCCCCAATATAGCCTCAGAATCTCCACAGGAACAGGAAGAGTAGAGTTGAGCTGAGTCAATAATTGAAATCACAGCACTCAGGGCATTCCCATGCATGCTCCGTCCTCATCTTCAGCAGCCAGCGCAGAGTTCCAATGCTGGCGGTGTATGCCCACCCACCCAGGCCTTACACCATGAATTACTGAGTTATTTATATGTATAATGACATCATCTGGTTAAGTGGTCACAATCTTCAGCAGCCAGCGCAGAGTCACAATACTGATGGTACTGGTCACAATCTGGTTATATGTCTGTCTTGCCTTTCCTCTGAGTGTAGTGAGCCGGCCAGACCCTCTGGTTATACCTAGATGCCTCATAATCTTCACAGGAAAAGCTAAACTAACAATTCAGATAAGCAGGTTAACATAACGACTGTCTCCAAGTTTAGGAAGCCAAAAAAAAAAGTAAATTACCCTTAATTAGTTGCCTTTTTTGGCATGCTTGTTAAGGGACTGGAGGGTTATATAATATTTTTCATCTAAATGGGACTCACAACCCACATAGAAAACATATTTTGTTGACTATACAGTTTTGCTGAAACTGGGAGAAATATAAAAATTTGCTTACATCACAGTCTTCCCCCCAAGACCACATGTTGCGGAACCAAAGTGTTGGTAAAACATGGATTCTGGCCGTCTCCGAGCCTCTATTTGATATTATATATTTAACCAAAATGTCTTCAGGCTTGGATTTGCAGAATTCTGCTCTGACATCCCAGTACTTGCCATCATCAAACACGCCTGTTTAAAAACATAAACAACAACGCAAGTCAGATACATTCTCTTGAAAATGTTTTCAAATGTCTATCTTAGTTCTCTTCTTCTTCGCGTTCACCAGCTATTTACCAGGTGTAAAAGTTCTGGTTGCTCGCCCACTTCTGGACTGCAGTCCTGTTCCAGAACCTGAGTTTTGCGTGTGCATCCGATTGACAGATCTGACTCATTTGTTTGCAGACTGCTGGTTCCTAGCCTCTCAGGCAGATGCACTCCGACTTCAAAGGAAGCCCCCAATTAGTCGACTCTTACGACATGCTTTTGGGCAGGCCAGTGGGTCTGTTCTTGTTTTCCCTATATAGGCCCCGGAACTCACACGGGTATATCTTAGTTCAAAAGCCTGAACTGTCAACAACAACAAAAACAATAAAGAAAAACATTAACATGAAAAAATAAAAACAAAATAAAAGAAATGTCACACAACTTTCAGAAATGTTTAAATTTCTGTGTCCTGTTTTCACCCCCTAAAAAGGCACTTGGCCCACTGTGTTGTAGTTTACCAGCTAGGCCTTGATATCTGCACCTCTTTATCTAACACAGCTTATTTTAGAAAAACTAATTGGTTTTTTTTTTAAAGGGTCAGTGGGTCTAATTTCTCCCAAGAATGGAGTCCTCAGAACACATAGGGGGTTGAAAGGCAAAGGAAAATGGACCTAATTTCCATATCATCATGAAATTTTGTAGATTTTGTGATGGCCTATGACATTTTAATGACCAGCTGACACGATTGCAGAATTGCCCATGTTGAATGACCAACTGACGTTTTTCCCCATGTTGAAGTGCAGATGCCGTCCCCAGTCCCCATGTTGTGGTGAAGTTTCCCCAGTCCCCATGTTGAAGTGGTCAAGAAGCCGTTTTCCCCAGTCCCCATGTTGAAGTGGTCAAGAAGCCGTTTTCCCCAGTCCCCCATGCCGTTTTCCCCCCCATGTGGTCAAGAAGCCGTGCCCCAGTCCCCAAGTCAAGATGCCGTTTGCCCCAGTCCCCATGTTGAAGTGGTCAAGATGACGTTTGCCACAGTCCCCATGTTGAAGTGGTCAAGATGACGTTTGCCCCAGTCACCATGTTGAAGTGGTCAAGAAGCCGTTTGCCACAGTCCCCATGTTGAAGTGGTCAAGAAGCCGTTTGCCCCACGCTCTGAAGGCTGTGGGTTCATTTCACAGCTGCACCGTTCAGTTCATGAGTGCAATTTCTATGGAGATTCATGGGGACTGTCGCCGGAGCTACTGAGTTCATGCTTTGTGCATTGCTCTTAACAGGCAGCTAGCCATTCTGAGAAGAGAGACGGAGCCATATAGCATAAGAACCAGTTCAATGAAGTCAATCATCTCAACTTTAACCTTTTAACCTTTAGGTAACTGCAGAGTTTAAATGTTAGGGGTTTGTTTCATTCCTCAACAAGGGTCTAAGTTTTTTAATAAAATCCTTCCCGTGTGGGTTCCGGGGCTCTATTATTAGAAAAACAAGGACAGACTCACTGCCTACCCAAAAGCATGTCGAAAGAGTCGATTAACTGGGAGCTTCCTTGGAAGTCGGAGTGCATTTGCCTGAGAAGCAAGGAACCAACAGTCTGCATACAAATTAGTCAGATCTGTCAAACGGGTGCACACGCAACACTCAGGTTCTGGAACAGGACTGCAGTCCAGAAGTAGTCGAACAACCAGAACTTTCCATCAGACTTTACAGCCGGTGAACGCGAAGAAGAAGAGGAAATAAAATCCTAGCCTGTACACTGCATGGCGACTTCTTGGGCAATATGTCTTTGCTTCTCAGTCAGAGAAAACTTTTGTGACACACATCAGCAATGTTTGTTGGCAACTTGGCATTCTTTCACCTTTCCACTGATGATGTGGCACTGTGCTTTCTAGAGAGGCATGGGAGTCACCGCCAGTGTAACTAGCAAGACCAGCTCATATTTTTTAAAACATCTTCCACAATAACTGCACAGAATTTGGGGACCACTGTTGTCATCACATGCATTTTATGGAATGGATGATATGATTTAAAAATATTTAAAAAGATATTTCAGGGCAGACATGCACAGGACATTTTATGGCAGCCATTTTGTAAGGCTAAATCCTCTCCAGAGAAATGCGGTCATGAAACAAAATCTACCCATTATGAGAATTTGAGCCCAGGCAATAGACTGATTTGGACAATGGTATCAAGAACAATGATAAACTGTTGTTGGCAACTTTTCCTCTACCCAGATGGTTGTGTCATAATGTGCAATGCGAAGGCATGGGAATCACTGCCCATGGCAATGGCGAGAAAAGTCTTCCATAATCACAGCATAGGATTTCAGGACCACTGGTGCCATCCAATGTATTCTGTGTGATTGTTCTCAGATGCTCAGCTCTCAACCTTTCTGCAATCATGTTTCCTTTCTTCCCATTCCCTTCCTGATTTTCCCCACACAAAAATCAAACAAAAGCTGTGGCTGGTTTGCTACATCAACTAAACGATATGCAGCAAACCTGTACACTAGACAGAATGATTGTCATTATCATGAAGCAGGTCCTTTTCAGAACGTCACTCTCATCACGGTCTGCCTGACACAAACTTGGTCTCTGGCCAGCTCTCCCACCTCATGTAGTTTCACACTCAAGGAGTCACTTATATCCTGTGCCCATCTTCCTGTTGGTCGGCCCCTGCCCCTCCTTCCTGGTACCATGCCTTCTGCTATAATTTTTTCCGATCCGTCGTGGTGCTTGATATAACTAAAATATTTCAGCTTTCAACACAGGATGCTGTTTATTAGCCAATCTTTCTTGATGTTCAGATCTTTCAAGATGTCAGTATTTCTAACTTTTTAGACAGAATCAATAAATATAATTCTTGGTCATTCTCTACCGTTTTTAGTCAAGCTTCTTTGGTCAAAGCTACAAAGTGGCAGTTGATGGCCGCTTACTCACAATATGTACACACCAGATCATGTCTTGTTCATCACTGACTTAAATGCTGGAGATAGTATACATGGTATTAAATATAATTTCTAATTTGTTTCTCTACTTTTACCTTTTTAAAAATAGATGCGTATCCTTTACAGGATGTTGCAGAACCAACCCCAGCACTTTCTGGCCATTGTGGTTTTTCTAGGCAAATTTACGTCCAGTAGTTTGCCATTGATTTCTGGACGGTCGGCTCTCGGTACCATGGTCGAAACCACCGCAAGACACCGTCCGCAGCAGGGATCAAACCCGGCATTCCGACATTACAAAGTGTGTTCGCAACGCTTAAGCCACAGACACCGACTACTTTTACCTACATTTTTTTTTTGGTGTGCCATCTCCACAATGTGGGTTGGCTACAGAGGGCCCACAACTAGCTTTAGGAATATTATGTGGTGAGGTCGCAGTCTCTTTATGGTGTGACTCTCATGCCATCATCTGAATGCTGAATGTTGAATTAAGAGTTGACACCATAGCACTTAGGACCCTCCTAATAGAGCTCTGTCCCCATCTTCACCTGCAAGCGAACAGTTCCAATTTTAATGGCACCAGCAACTGTCTGATTGTATATCCGTCTCACTTTTTCCTTGAGTGTTGAGTGTCGGTCCCCTGGTGATTCCTTGCAGACTATCATCTAAAAAGACAGGTTGTTTTTGTCCACCCCCAAAACCAAACCTTAGAACCCAAAGATCATGAAATTGTTGAACTCATTCACTAACCTCAAAAGAAAAGAGCTGCTGCGTCACCTACCTAAGAAGAAGACAACTCACAACTTTCGGCACATCATATAAAGAGAAAAACTAGAATATACAGGAGAATTAGAGGATAAAGTTGCTGATATGTTGTCAGATAGTTTGGCATCATAGCAAGTAGGAACATCTACAGCAGAAATGATTGGTAATACAGGAGACAGAAGGTTTTTGAAATTCATGATGACTGATATCACACAACATGAGCAATAACAAGAAGTGTTCCTCTATTGTAATTAGGACTGTATAAATGTTCATAACAGATTATTTTGAAGGGAAAGAATGCGGAAATGATTACCTGTGTCGAGAAGCTCATACTCTGGTTGCTGTTTTGTTCTGTACCTGTTTTCTGCCACCAAATGATCATAAGGATAGGTGTCGTGTGGATATTTGTACAGTGCTGACATGTAGGAGTGGGTGGGTGTGCTGTCCAGATAATAGTACAACTCCTTGACATCTTCACCGTGGTTTCCCTGGAATTACATTTGTGTTTTAAAAAAACAGAAAAAAGACTGACAGTTATTTAAATAATCCAACAACACCATAGCTTCTTCATTTTCTTGTTTTTCTATGCTCATCTTTTAAAAGGTTGACTTGCACTTCTCTGTTGCAGTTTCTGTTCTGCAATACATGTGCCTTTTAGCCCAATACATCCAGTTTCAGCTGTTGTTTTTTTTGCCTCTCAGGCAAACACACTTCGACTTTGAAAGAAGTACCCCTAATTAGTCAAACTTGTATTCCCTATGTGGGTTCTGGGGCACTATTGTGAGGAAAACAAGAAAAGACTCACTCCCTCCCCAACAAACATGTCATAGGAGTTGACTATTTTGGGACTTCTTTCAAAAGGGCATCTGCCCGAGTGGCAAGGGAAAACCAGCTGCACACAAATAAGCCAGTAAAACAGATGTTCAGGCAAAACTCAGGCCCTGGCACAAAGCCAAAGTCCAAATGAATGAATAACCAGGACTTTCCCTCAGGAGCTCACACACATGCATGCGGTGAACAAAGAAGAAGGAGGAGGTCAAACTTTTATGACATGCTTGTTGGTGGGCTTCCCCGAAAATGGGGTCCTGTAACCTGTATGGGGATACAGTAGTTCGTGTCAATCACTTTAGCTTTAATCAACAGAAAAACAACATACCTCACTGCCCGTAAGCCCAAACAGCCTCTCCTTCAATATTGGATCTTTCTCATTCCACAGACACATGGCCAGACACAGCCTGCACTGGTAGTCAGTGATGCCCAGCAGACCATCCTCACCCCATCTGTAGGCCCTAGATCTGGCAACATCATGAGGGAAATACTCCCAGCTGTGGACACAGGAATTAATACAAGTATACCAGGAAAGCTGGCTCACTCTATAACCAAAACAAAATACTACAGTACTTCCTGACTGCCACCTTTTTGATGAAGTTTCTGTTTTCTTATCAAATAACCCAAACATTTTGTAGCTTCCCCCATAAAGTCACATCCTGCAAGATTGAGCTGACTGAGCTGAACTAAGAACTGACAACACAGCACTCGGAACATTCCCATAAGCACCTCCTCCTCATCTACAGCAGCCAGTAAAGAGTTCTAGTGCTGATAGTTATGGTATGTCATATGTCAATCAGGGGGCAGAGATCTGAAAATGGGGATCATCACGGGCCAGTGGTCTGAGCCAAACATAGAAACACATTATTCAATACAACTGGCAGTGATCAGCAGGCCATTTGGTAGGCATCTGTGGGCTGCCAGCTAAAGAAGCTCTGCATTATGTCATCACAATCGACATCACTGCATACTGGGCATCCCCATGCATGCTTAGCCCTTAGATGCAGCAGCCACACCAAGGGACCTCTGCTGATGGTTACCATGAAATATAATGCCTCCTCTCTCGGCCCTAAATGTAGCACAGATGTGTTTCACTATGCCGAGTTATGCAACTGTGTTAGTCAGAGATTTGTCATCATCCTCTAGCCCAATATGTACAGGGGTGATATCTGTTCTGTCCATGCTTCTTCCAGCATGTGTTGATGCATTACTTGCCAGTTGGTCAGCTGGCTCATTGTTTCACACCAGAATTCTGACGGTGCCATGCTAGAACAGAGATCTTGCATTTACTTCTACTTACCTATTCTTGCTGCAGAGATTCTGTCAGAATTCATATTTCAAATAACAAGACAGTTATTGTATTAGAACCCACAAGACCCAAAAAAAAACCTGAAAAACCTAAACATGTAGAAGAGAATCAGAGAAGTGAATAAAAAATAGTAGTAATTAGCTCATTCCAAAATATCCTGTTGAACCCTCAGGGTTACAGTTGGGATAGAAAGTATACTCTTCAGAGTTTATCTTTGCTACTTTACATATTGTATAAACATTCTTTCAGACATTTTTGCAATTTGTGTCATTATTATTTGAAATACTGTCCTTTTCACGCCCTATGGTTTGTGATAATGACAGATATTGTACAATGATACTGTACATATAACAGACGAACGTAAAATCCCAAGCAACAGAGAAATGTTTAGACTAAAACTTGCATGGGCTTGCTTCATTATACAGGAAGAAACACAGGAATTGTGCCTTCTTCTTCTTATAGTCTACAGCCTGTGGCGCTGGTACTCATGACTATCCACAACCTTCTGTCTTGTGTACTTTCAAACAGATGATCTTAAATGCCTTGATGTCTTAACTGTCTTCTGTCTCTGTCTTCCTCTTTTACCCTACATCTTTCCCACCACCAGGAGGTACTTCAGTACTCTCTCCATGAGTCAATTTCTTTCAAGATATCTTCATCACTCTTTTTATCAGTCCATGGAATTCTCATCATTCGTCTATACAATGACATCTCCAAAGTTTCCTCATAATTTGTCACTAACCAGCAAACTGTCCATGATTCACTTCTGTATACCAAGAAATGATTCATACAGCTCTTGACTATTCTAACGATGCAGAAGGAAGGAAACTAGTTCCATGCCCCATTATTTTGGTTTGTGTATGTGAAGGCTCTAATATTTCAGTTTCTGCCAGGGGCGTCTGCCAGAAAAGAAAACATGGAGATAGAGGTGGGCTCAGCCTCCTCAATAATTCTCTAGGGGGTCTTCACGGGTCATAAGCCTAACTTAAATGCACATTATTACTATTATGTGCTGAATGACACATAAATATAATAACATATCTGAACAACCATAAAACGTGTAAATAAATACTTAAATAGTCACGTCCACACCTTTACATTCTAGATTTATCTGGGCGGTGAGGGGAGAGTTTTATAGATGTCCGAGGATCTAATACTGACTATTTACATCTTTTATGTAAGTCGATAAAATCTACGTCTTCTTGATAGTCCGACTTCATCTGTTCTAAGACAACCGGGGATACGACACAACCAAGGCCAAATTACCGAAACCCTATGTAGGAGCAGTACTTTACAACAAGGATACGAGAAAATCACCAAATAATACCAGACCTCAGCAGTATAGCCATCAGTACCTGCCCAAGTCAATCGACCGCCGGTCCTTATTAGGATAGGCAATCTACTTTCCCCGGAAACAACAAACAGCCAAGGAATACCACAATAAATCGATCCAACATCCAATCATCTTGAGCGCAGCACAGGGCCAGCCAGATTACAAAAACAACAGCAAGAGCGGAAACCACAACAAACAGAAAGTGACAATATTGAACACAATCCAGAATCAAATAAGATCGCGACCAGAAAACGTCACCACAAATATAGCTGAAAGGAAAGTGAGCAGAAATGTGAACGGACCTAGCTGAAAGTGGTCAAAGAAAGAGAATTTGAATTTGAAAAGGGGAGGGGGGGGGGGGAAGGAATCACTCATTTTCTAACCTATTTCTAAAATAAACTACTATGAAGTCGCTTACTTCCTATTTAGCCTAAAATAAACATCCGTAGGTCACCTATTTCCTATATCCATCTTAAAAGTCATTTACTTCCTAAACTCGACCTAAAATCAACAACTATAAAACCACTTGCATCTCCAACCCCGTCTTAGATTTAGCATTAGAGCAGGCAATTCCTAACCTCTTCCAAAAATCACTCACTTCCTCGCCTCTCTATAAAATTATCAATCACTCGCTTCCTAAACTAAGTCTTAACTTAACGGCAATTCAAGGAAGGAGGAAAAACAGTTATATCTCTATGTTTATAGATAAAGGCTGATAGTGCATTCTGTGCTATATTATATTGTCCCTAGATATTAAGTATATTTAGGTCACCCGATGGCCTTCACCGATATCAGGAGTTCACTTGTTCACAGCTGTTTTCCAGATACACCAGTGGTTCTTAACTTATCAGATTTTGTGTTTGTTATCTTTCCCCCATTTTAGTGCATAAATGTGGCAATGGCGGATGCTATTTTTTATGTATGTTGTGTAGATTGTATTTGCTAGCACGTTACTGTTTAGATTAAAGTGTAGAATTAGTGTAAAATTGAAGCACATTCCATGATACAAGACTGCCCAGAACTTGTCAGACAGGAGGGTGCCGGGGTGTGGGACAAGACACAAACTTAAACTTCATTTTTAAAAGGTTAAGAATTGGGCAGGCTTTCTACTTTTCTGGATCTCTCCTACAGAGATAGTATGTCAGACAGGCTGGCAGGCAGGAGGGCCTACAGACAATAACATAAATAGAAAAGACCAGAGACAGATATTTAGTCAGACAGACAGACTGACAGTTAGAGACACATATAGACAAATAAACAGGCAGGCAGACAGACACAGAGAGACACAGACAAATAAACAGACAGACCGACCGACCACTGACAGACAGAGAGAGAGAGGGAGAGAGAGAGAGAGAGAGAGAGAAAGAGTACAACAACTATGTGTGATATATCAATACTTTATCAAGAGGCTGGCTGGATGAAGACTGATGTACTCAGATGTCACTGGGTTAAACGGAACAGGGTAAGGCTGTACAGGGGAAGAAGGAAGAGGAGGAAGCTGAGAAGGAGAAGAGTCGGATAGGAGGATGAGAGGAGAAGTAGAATAACTATTTTTAAGAAAAACAGAAGAATAAACAGAAAGAACAAACGACTCAACCGCGTTTTACTTGATTATATTACAACATATCATCGGCGTGCTCACCATCTAACACACCTGCCAAGATGAAATGTGGCAGATTTAGATTAATGATAGATCTGAATGATAGCGTTTAAAAAATACATTAACAGGGCCCCAAAAGCAGGGCTGCCAATGCTGGGTTTTCCCCCAGATCTAGGTTTTTATTTGACGCCTTGGGGAAATTTTTTTTTTAAATATATCTTTATATAAAAGTGTTAAATGTTTCGTTTCGTAACTATTTCGCTTGTTTAGTAAGTGTCCAGGTCTCACAGGCGTATGTTGCAATGGGAAAGATGCATGCTCTTAAAAATCTGACCTTTGTAATTCTATCTGTACAATTCCATAATCTTTATATAAAAGTGTTAAATGTTTCGTTTCGTAACTATACAGTTTGTACATTTTAACAATCTGGGTTTTTTTTTTCTCTGTCTATGTATTGCTTGGATTTTTGTTAGTTAGTTAGTTAGTTAGTTAGTTTGTTGGGTTATCCTCATTGCACTCCGGACATGTCCATAGGTGCTCAGATCCTCCCCTCAGTATGAACCCCAACGTCCGATGGCTAATAGTACCAGTTCTATGTTGATTAACAAGTCTTCTGGTGTGCGTCTCGTTTTTTGCTGTACCAATCTTAATTCCCAAGTCTGCCATACTGGCGAGTGATGTCGATTCACTGCCACCAAAGTCCTCTATCCTTCCCATTTCTCTGAGGGCATTGATAATATCAGCATGATCCATAGGCTGACCGTCGGTAGTGATAGCGGATCCAGCCACCCTGTCAGCTCTTTCATTTCCATCGACGCCTGCGTGTCCCGGAACAAAAATAAAGGTTGGATTTTTGTTTAGCGAAGCTAGGTTTTTCAACAACAAAAATCCCATTGGCAGCCCTGCTCAAAGGGTGTGCTTCGGTTTGAGAATATCTTCTTCGCGTTCACCAGCTGTACACTCTGGCGGAAAGTTCTGGTTGATCGTCCACTACTGAACTGCAGTCCTGCTCCAGAACCTATGCATATATATACATACATGGCAGGTCGTCTAACATCTACAGCTGCCAGTTTTTCAATCAGTAGAAGAGTATTGCTAATCTGTGTCGAAGCTGAATGTCAGCCTGCCTACCATTTGCCGGAAATAAATCCTAATTTTACATATCACTGAGGCCCTGTTAGTGTACATTTTTAAACGCAATCACTCAGACCCATCATTCGGAGTACAGCATTTAGACAATAAAATCACCGTGTGG